AGCAGCTATTCTAGGTGAACTCTTTTCTCTGCAGAGGTTTTATCTAGCAGAGCAGCTAAACAGACTAGACTAGACTAAAATACACGTCCGTGAATGAACGCGAAACGTTCTGTACGAATCTTTGATACGACAAGTGCAACGCGAAGGTTACCTACCTCTGTTCTCCTGACACAAGATATTAACTAGGGCGTGTAAAGGAGAGCATTATGGCCAGTAAAGCAAAAAGAGAAAAATCAAGACGAAATTCTATGGGCAGAGAGGGTGGGGGCAAGCCCTCGGTCATGGATGTCGACGGCTAACAGTGCCGGGCTTTCCTGTAAGCTTTCGTGTGTGGGGATCGGTATGGGGGACAGGCCGTTGCGAAAAGGCGTCCGCCCAACGCTGGTGGCCGATATTCTACGTGTCGCCAATGATGTTCGTGTGCCGGCAGAGATGTCTGTCAAAGTTCACTTGTCGTTCCTTGTTCGTATACGGCTCTGTCAGCTATGCCGTAACAGTGGGCCAGGGCGCGTACGGGACGATGTATGGAGACGTATGATAGCGTGACCCGTGAAGGGACATGGAGACTAAATGAGTTCCGCTTATAGGTGGGCTATGGAAAGGTGAGAAGATATTGCAGAATAAGAGATATTGTCCATGAAGGTCTAGGCGACCATTATTACTGTTATTATTATTATTATTATTATTACAAGCACAGCCGGTTCGACCTTTTGAAAAAGAGCAGGCAACAGCATAAGAAACAGAGACAAAGACAAGATACGGCGCGAGCGCTAGTCAATATTGTGAGCTAATCAGACTTTTGCTAATAATTGTGAGCTATGGGAGACGACAATATCGGTCTCTCACACATTACATTTTTCTATGCTATTTTTATGTATTTCTATGTTAGGTATGAGCGAACTGAGGAAACATACATCATTAAATTTGAACTGATTAAGAGTTCATGTGATGCAATTAGCAGTGAAAAAATGACAGGAGTGATGTATGAATATTGTACCGTATACCTCGTCTGGTATGTCTAGAGGAGCTCCGAAAATTTCTCGAGACTCTTATATTTTCTTGAACTTATGGCCTTAGTGTCATCTTAGTTCGATGTTCATCTAACGGTCTCCTTTTTCCTCTGAAAGGACGCAACATGGCACAGTGAGAAATTCATGGGAAAAAATTGAAGAAATTCGCCATAACCGTAAGCCCCATGTAGGAACACAGGATCACATACGTATCGTATGCACTAAAGGGCAAATACATGCTATGATGAACAAGACATTCAAGTACCATAGATGTGATCAAGTAGACGACTTGAATGGTGATGTTGTTGACGTTATGCCCCCGCCCGATGTCGCTGGCTCACTAATGGAAGTCACTCAGATACATTACATGTGTTTATCAGCTAGCTGCGTTTATGACAAATTTAAACAGTAAGTTAACAGATTTATTGAAGCATTTACTGCCACCACATCGATACTCGCTGTGCGTTGTTCCAATTATAATGTAGATAAAACGATTTATCACGAGACTAAACAATATTGGAGGGTTGTGGCAGAACGCAAGCAGCATCAACCTAAACAACATATGATCGTTCCTCTACAAGTACACTAAATGTCAGATATACTCATAGTTTATTACCAGAGCGAGCACCATATCGACTATAAAAAAAAAACATTGCTCCGACCTAATGGGACTTCGAGATATATGACGGCTGGGATGTCGCCAGTGAATGTATGACTTAGACAACCACATGGACAAACCGTGCATCATACAAGCATTTCGTTTGTCGAGTTGAGTAGATACAACGCCCATAACAGCCCTATCCTGCTTACACAGTCACAGCTTCTGATCTTGGATAACAAACTTTAGTGAAATATAGGTATCAGGTAGAATACACATCATATCATAAGGTTTTATACAATATTATCAAAAAACAAATTTCGATATTTTAAATAGCAAAAAGGCCGATTGAACTAAAGTATATTTACGCTGGATCTTACAGAAGGTGTTCAGCATCGAGTAATGTATGCACACTCAACACAAATACAGACAAAAAAAAATCCAAAACTTTATTCGCTTCCTACAGAAGAATAGATTCTTCCGAGGAACTGACGGTAAGCTTGCGAGAACGTATCAACAATCCAATACGTTTTTGATATAAAAAAAGATAAACGTAAGGCTTGTTTACGTAAGGAAGCTAACGGAAATCTAGATATAAGCTAAAAGTAACAAAGGAAAGACGTTTAAAAATCGCACAGTTGATTTTCCAGTGACTCCCGCACAAGCGACCCACACTGGGACTTTTAATAACAGCTTTACTTGGGTATTGACCTATCGGTGGCTTTCGGCTTTAACGTCCACATTTCTGTTACTAAACCCCTTTATAGATGAATCGGGTTTGTACTGTATTGAAACAGCTGAAGAAGCAACACGTTTTGTATCTCGGGCTTTTTTGTCATCTCACATAGACATATACAAAGCATGGAACATCCGAGAAGCACCTACCGAACTGTCTATCGCAGTCAGCCCCTATTAAGTTGCTTGCATATCATCTGATTATCGCATCAGTCACGTTGCTAGCATTCATATAATAAATGTTATAGCAAACAATGTTTGAAGAACGAAAACACACTGAGGATTGGGCAATTAAATGTCTATCGGCAATAAACCAGTCCTTACTGCTCTGAACTATCGAAATTTTATATATAGAGATAATTTAATTAGATATAATTAATGGCAGATGATTTTTTCGAAAGGTTGCAAAACCGGTAATTACCCCAAAACCGCACAAACTGCTAAAGCTGGCGTTAACTTAAAACTGGGGTTTTACATACTGTGGCCATTGGGTTTTTCTTTTTGCTATTCTATCTATTATTCTTTGAAAAAGTTTCCGATTTTTTTGATGCAGTAACATCAGTTCAGTAAATTTCACTTTAATTGTTGTCTGAAGTACTTCCAAATCGCTTAGAAGAATTAATATTGACGTGTAACCGTCTTATGGTATACGTTTATGCCATATAACGTATGGTATAAACCTGGAAAGCACCAGCCTTATTCTATATTGATGACATTAATCAACAAAGGCGACAACAGCGTAAAGCCGTTACATTAGAATGCGAAATATTTGGTTATATCACACTTCTGAAACAGAAACCTAGTTATATTTGTAATACTCCAGAAAAAAAACTGATTTATCGTTAATACTAAAAACCTATATGAGCCTTTCGACAGCACAGAGTTATTTAAAAACTACTACTGTAAGGACCCTGTGAGAGGCCCTATTGTATTTATTTTTCTACCTAGATTTTGTCTGAAAAAAAAAACTAATTTGATTACAAAAACAGGCGGAAGAGCTAAGTTTGCAAAAAAATTTTCGGACACCGCCATATATCTACATAGATAGGATATCCGTTTTTATCCCCTCTAACAATCTGCCTTTTCGCACAGAGGCTTCTGACGATGGCCACTCTTTTGAATTACGAAGTCGCCATTTCAAACAGGCGTACGCGTGGATGGGGACTGATCATTTGCCTCTATCAGGCTCACGTAACAAATGTCTTATTGCCATGCAACAAACATGGGACGAACAGTGCGCCTTAAATAGACTAGAACATTTTGTCCGCCGTACGACCTGATCAGGCTAAATGCTTTATACAATATGAAAAGTAGGCAGTTTTTTTTCTCAATTTAAGAGCAAACAGAGTAAACATGTACATATGTGAGACATCTTAGCTCTACTATGAAATACGATTTGTTTGATCGAATATGATATGAACTAGCTTTAGCTTTGCTCTGGCTATTTGACCAAGCTTGACTTAGCAATTTAAACATTTTACCTCGCAAAAAGTGGAAATAAAATGTCAAAATTGTTTAGACTAGTTTTAACAAATGACGCTGAGCTAAAACCCATTATCGTTAGCCTTATATATACAGATATATATATATATTAAAAAAGCACTGACATTTGTCGCCACTACCGGCTCTAAACTAAAGCCTCATTTGACAGCGTGGAAGACTAGAGAGTACCTCAGATCGTTGGATATTAGTATTGGGTGAGCCTATCATGAAGGTAAACCGAGTAAGAGGCAACAGCAAAAAAAGTTGGAGTAAGTTTAGTTGCAGTAATAATAAAAAAAATATGCAAAGATTACTTTAAATATTTACGTCATGACAACTTCCATGCGAAACTATGTTTATGTTACTTCAGTGATGGGTAAGGTAGACAAGGAAGATCACCTTCTGCGTGCAGCCTTAACTTGGACCTTGTATCTATGTTAAACATAATTCTGGTCTATCTATTTGTCAATCTCTTTCGTACCTTAAGAACTTCTCGACCACTATCAACTAAAAGCTGCTATAGCATTAGAACTATTCCATCGTTTTCTGCTGTCGGCCGTAATGTTCCTCATGTACTCGCATCCCTGTCGTGGGCATTTTTCGCGCGTGCGCAAATTCTATTCGAAAAAAACGTAAGAGATACACGTAATGAGCGCGAAAGCACAAATATATTTAAACTTCTGCCTTCTGTCTAGTACTCCGCAGATGTGTATGGAGATAAAAACCCTAAACTAATTGTTCTAACCAATTATTTCGTGCTAATGTTCATATCAGTGCTTTACAGAATTAATACTGGTCATCAGTGCAACTGAAAAAATGCACAGATCATATGTATTACTCGGGACATGGAAAATCTCAAAAACTTATAACAATTCAACCAATGCAGAGACACGTAGTCATGATACTATACAAAAACAGTATCGCAGACGACAATGAGGCTTAATTAAATTTACATTCAAATATCTATAGGTCGAGATGTACAAGTCCAAGCTGCTGGTAAAATGTTTAACCGAATGCGACATCGATAGAACTCATCGATGGGTTCCATTGAATTCCACTTTAAGTCCAACAACACAAAGCGAGCTCAATCATCGCGTGTTGCTGGTCGCCAGGGTAACAAGCCCTCGGCACTGCTGCGGTGCTCCGGTCGGCACTATTCGGAGCTCGTAGTCCAGAAAAAGCGCCTGCCTTAGGTTGTAGACACTCAGCTCTTTACAGCCGCGAGGGACTTCAGCTTGGAAGCTGAGTGAAGCTAGGGGCCAGGTTTGTCTGGTAATAGTGGTCTCTCGTCCCACTAAAAAAACTCAGGACTACTCAATCGACGAAACGAAAATAAAAGATGAGTGAGTTACGCATCATACTTCATAATAAGTGACTAATCGTTCCATTATGTGGTTCTTTGCTGCATGAGATTTGTACATGCAACGCGTTAGACAGTTTGTCGGAAATTGCTGTAGGTGTTATCCACAGCCGGAAGGTGCGGAAATATGTGAAAATAAAGTGCAAACAACAATAAGCACTTAGCTAGTGTGTATGTGAAAATGTAAAGGCGACATAACAATGGTGTGTGCATGTTGGGTGAATGAAGGCGTCTAGAGGAGACGATGCAAAAGCTGGAACAAGCCTATCATTGAATCCCATCAAAGTGGTCCTTAGTCTTCTTTCAAAAGTATTTTCCTAACATAGTAGCGAGATGTGCGCGTAAAGAAGTTACAGTGTGTGCACGTTTGCGAGTGACAATGAAATTCCATACGACGATCCATGGTGAGAATGTCACGATTGACGAGGGAGGAAAGTTTGCCTGTCGGCGAAGTTCGTTTTATGACGCTGTCGTGTTTTTTGCAAAGCCTCTGTCAGTGGGGACTCGCTATTCGCTGCTGCTGGCAAATACGGACGAATCTTGGAACGGTGGCCTTCGTCTGGGACTTACCACCAAGGATCCGGCCTCGATTCAGCCTGTACCGAAATTTACCTTTCCGGAGCTCGTTGGTTAGTTACGGGTTATTATAGATACAGGATACGTATTGGGAGAACATATCTATAATGTATTATATATAGGGTGTCGGCCAGTTTGTTTTTTCTTATACTTTAGAGCTGAAGGATTGCGGCGGTCTATTGCACGTATAAGTGGCTATCAGCCCGCTCGAAAAAAATCGAATATAATGTAATTATGAAATATATAAGAACCCTGGGTACGACGATAGCATAACAAGGATAGAGTAACGAAATACTATCCAACTGCCCTCTTAAACATGTGCGAAATAAAGTCATTACACAAAATACACAGAATAGTGTTTCAATTTATATAAGCGTATACGTGGATCCAGCTTAGATAAAACCACAAGCTTATGCACCGTTTTGTAAACATCTCGATTTTATTAAAGCAGACAGAAGTTACTTGGCTACTGATTTTGATTGAACTGAATATTTAATTGCTGGAAGGGGTGACATCCAAACGGTTTTCATAATAAATTACTGCTATATTAGGGATATCGAGGACGTTTATACGTAAGTGATATTATAAATGTGGGTTTTACTTTGCTGTATGTTTTTGACAATAGATTTTATTTGCGAATTAAAACTTATAATTTTTGCGTGGCTGTATGTTAGTAACAGCCTTGGCGGTTGTCGAGTTTAGGCACTGTAAATAGGTTAGCCCACATTTCACAGTTATGTTGTAATGATTGCGATGCTCGTTATAGACCACACAAAAACGTTTCCTTAGAAGTAAACCGAATATTAGAAACAAGATAACACGTTCGACCTGTAATCTTCATTGAAGTGTAACATATCGGCGCGATACTCCGCGCTGGTATACACCTTTTCTTCGAAAGACTTCCTTCACCAAGCGGCGCTTCGGCCCGGATAACTGTATTGTGAATAAGTAAGGCTCATATTGTCGAACAAGCCGACAGGCTTAATCTGCGTAACGCTAGATTTTTCAGGCGTAAGTATAAGAAAATTAAGCAGTCTAACTCTTTAGCTGATCTTCTACCGAAAGGGGGTGACGACTGGTTTATTCAATGGAAGCATACCCAGCCCCATTCACTACGATAATCAATCTAACTGCGCAAAGTATGTTTTTGTTATTCAGGAAAAAGGTGCTGTAGAAAAAGTATTCATATCCCAATCACTGGGTCTTTTTTTTAGAAAAATACCACTGGGCCTCTATGGTCAATTGATAGGAGGAACACAAAACAGAGAAGAAAAATTGTCATCGCTAGGTTCCTAGATGTCGAGATTCCTGTGGAGTCAATCACTATGGAGGTGCTTTGATAAGAATCATTGACTAATTTACACAAAAAAGGTCAATCGTAAAGCACTTGATTAATATATCAATGAACAGAACAATCGTAAGTGCAAACAAATTTTGTTTCACATAAAACACGTGTCTGTTATGCCACATAACGGGACCTCAACCGACGGATTCTTGACCTCTTTCGCCTGAGACGTAGCCGCTCAAGTTACTGCCCCTATACTCAAAACGTAAATACGAGAGGTCTTTCGAGAAAATGAGATTTCGGCCACCGAATCCCGAGACTTCCAGGGGGTGCAGAAACTTTAGTTCTATTCAATATGGTCGTGACGCTGAGCTTGTTTCGCACGGGGATCAAATTATAAGTAATTCCTGCTAGATGTAAAAAAGGAAATCCTAAGTCAGTAAAATAAAACTAGATCACGCTAAGTGCAAGGCACACTTGTATGGTCGCTACGGGCTACATTCGGAAGTCGATTGAGCCAACGCTCGGGTTCGTACTGGTACTGACGGAAGGGGTAGTAATCTCGCGACCACATTGTAAGCTAATACCTATATAGTACCAGCTATCAGGGGTCGTGTTCTAGATAAACGATGTTAATCTTTTCTAAATCTTAAAATTGTCCTGTCAAAAACTCCTGGACCGATCGTATCGAACGCAAGTCATAATGCAACTCGGTTGAGCCATGCAAAAGCTATATATGAAAAGCGTGCCATTTAGGCCTGACTGGGCCTTCGATAAAGCTTGACATCGTTGTCCAAATAAGTACTCAAGAAGGTATTGTGTTTCACAGTCTTTATCAGCTTACCTGTCTAAAACTTTTACCTCAGATGAAAAAATGCCACTAATCTCATAAAATAGATGCAGCACAAAAATCAAACATATCTTTCCCATCACTATTATATTATCGTTAGGAGATGTTATATACGTAGTAATTGTTGCTTATGAAGAATAGCGCATAACAAATTGCATGCATCAACAAATCTATGTTAGGGATAATTTCGAAAATGAAATGGCGCTGTCTCCTCATAGACCTGTACGATGCAAACCCGCTAAATTAGCTCTGTCTCAAGTAGTAAGACTCATCCGAATATGGCCGTGCGTTCGATGTAATTGCATTGAAATAATCGATTGAATCAATTCTGCCTCGCGGACTTATAAACGCCTATTTAAAACAAAAAGGCCAGCCGACCTTCGCGTTTTATACGAATATTTTCATGCAGCGTGAAGGTCGCTCTCATACTAGTGTTCCGTGCCAATGACCATTGGGCCAGATAACCTTCATATAGTTACAAAAATTGACACTTAAAAGAACACTATTAAAAAGTAGAATTGTTTTATGCTAAAACATTGCTACGGAGTTAGGACAATCCCGATTGTGAACTAGTTTTCAATACTGGCTAAAAATGTACTTTTAACGATACTACAGAGGTAAATAGCTCAATATATTCACAATGGAGATGGAACATATTGGACATGCTTTCTGTGTAACGTTTTTCTTAGGAGTAAAAAAACTACACGTGTTGATTTCTCTTTTCCAGTACAGGCCGTTTCAGAATATTGCCCTTTGCACATCTCTTCCAAGTTCACCACAGAGTATTGCTAGGATTACGCTAAATGACAGATAGTTGATCCTTCGCTAACTTCATACCTTATTCTTTCTATATAATTTCGAGGTGTAGTTATATTGGTTTTTGATTACAAGACCACGTCGAGTACTAAGCTGTGAGAGTGTTTAGCTGCATAACCGAACGACAGTTTTCAAGGACTTCCATGAAAATCAGTGGATATGCTTTGTTTTTCCATAGAGAAGCACGCCACGTTTTCGTTCGACGGGTGTTGCAACTTGTTTCGATCAGTGACGCTATGTATAAGTGTCTCTAACAGAAGCAGAATTTTTTTTCATTTCTCTTTCTGTAACGCCTACATAAATGTGTAGATGTTTAAAAGTTAATTCCTTAACTTCTATGCTCTAACTAAGCACATTATAGAGTACGAAGGCTATTTCTACAGAACGAATTTTTGAGATACCACGATTTCTTGACCTTTACTGAACATCTGTAGGTCAAATAGGGAACCGGCTCGCATCTGATTCAGTTATAAAATAACAGAAATTGCTTTGACAGTAGAACTATATATTTAAAAAAAAATCATTTTATTTCACAGCTGCCCCTTTTCACACAGATATTATATAGCAAAGTTTTAATCTGATTCAATTTGAAGTTCAGCGCATTACCTCTACAAAAATATGTTCCTTGGGAAAATACAGCTTGAAACTGAGACCTCAACCTTTATTCTACGAACATGGATGTCTCGAGATCGTCACTACAGATCCGATTAATGTTAGGCTTTTGTAGGCGTCGACTAATATGTGCAATAATTTGTAAAAAATAAGTAAGAGAAACTGGAAAGGGAGTCATGTGTGTCGTCAACGGATCATTTAATTCGCTTCTTGGGGAATTTAATGGTGGAAAGAACGACAGCGGTTTCACTGAATTTTCTTTACTACAAAGGGGTTTTGCGCAATTTATTATTTCTATACTGTCGTACAAAAAAGACCTAAAAAAGGTGATGAAAAAATATTGGAAAGAATTTCCACTCTAATAGATACATGTGAGGCAAGCATTACACATGAAAGTTCTTTACTCAAAGATTTCAGTTATTCTAATACGATATACTCTGCAGAGCTGGATTATTAATACGAACCTGATAACGAAGGCCTACAGAAGAGGATAAAATTTATGTAAACCTAGCTAGTCTAAGCGCTTAACGTGGTAAACCTAGCGTCATAGCAGTTCGTGGACGAGAATAAATATTTCCTGTAGAGCTATCTGTCTACGTGACCAAACAGAAAGACGCGAGTCTCCCAAGGCGTTAGTGTGTTCATGCTGTTATCGTTCTTAGTGGGCATTTAAACATTCGAGCTTCCTTGTAGAAATATATTTATATTGCATATAACGCACAATAGAGAAAAATGACGCGCAATAGAAAGACTTAGTTCTATATTCGTATACAGGCGTATTAGGGCCATTACAGCCAATGCAGTTAGGTTGAGTTTACCAGTTAAGAACAGACGCTGACACTGTTCAATTTTATTCTCGGTAGCTTTCCAGGCCATCGTATGTTTCACTATCCAATTAAGTTTTGTGTTTCGAAACCAACCGTGCGTTTCGCGATTTTTTAGGAATGTCCAAATCACTCAATAGCCGAAAGTTGCGGGCGCCCCAGATCGAGGATCGGTCAAAAACATATAACTATCATGCTAGACGCCGAACACTTTATTTCGGGATTTGACAACAGATTGGAAGCTCATTTGTAGTAGTCGGATATGAAAACGTGTTACTACGCCTGTGGGATGAATGGCGTACGTCATCTAATTGGTCAATCCATTGTCTATGTGAATTAAACTTGGTCTTCTACAATTTGCGGAGTATAATATTTTCATCCTTGTAGATATTTCACCAGTTGCTTAAAGCACGCTGATCCGACTTGTTCCCCTGAAAGCTCGTCCTCAAGATCCAAATGAATGAAACATACAATATCAATGGCCGCATCGGCTTTCATATAATCCGATTATCTGGTCAATCTGACGGTTTCTATAAAAGCAATATATCGTTTTATTGATGTACATATAAATAGCTACGCGAATACAAATATATATGTAGAAGCTCTGTTATAATATCTAATATTTGACCAAACCACGAGTTAATGTTAGTTAAACGAACTGGCAAGTCTGGTGTTTCTCTTGGAAAACCTTCATTTACGGCAGCCTATAAGTTATTTACATAATTTTGTACGTCGGCTGTTGTTTTCGCTGATAAGACATTTTTTTGCGCTTCCTGTTACAGGTCAAGAAGGTTTTTGGTTGGCTGCTTTGCCCGAGGAATTCTGCAAGACCCAGTCTCGTCTTACGTTCTACATCTCACTGACGGGAGAACTCGCTCTGTTCGCCAATAACGAGTATAAGGGCGTGTTGCTATCCGGCCTACCGGCTTCCGAAAGCCTCTACTGTTTCATTGACCTTTTCGGGATTAACACATCTGCCAGATTAATATCACATGGTTAGTAGTTATTCGACATTGATTATATCTGAAGGCTTAGCGACACTTCACTGACTAATTTGCTGTTCAGGCTAGAGGAGCTACAAGAGTAGCCTTCACTTAACAACTGTACACATTATCTGGCCGATTGAAAATCGATGGCATTGTACGGCTTTGTTTTGCCTCTACTATCTGTAAGTAAAGCAGTATGAATGATAAAACGACTACTGTTTACAGTACAACTTATTACCCCCTTCCACCCCCAACCAAAGTGACTAGCTAATTTTAACAAGCAGTGACCTTTTTACGAATACTAATAATGAGTAATGACAACTTCAATGTTAATATGGTCATGACACAAATTTTAACGAAAGTATTCAGTCCGCTTTTACTACCCGCATCTACATCATGTCTAATTAAGACCTACAGAAGCAGGCACATATTTTCTGGAAGTGCTATACAATTTTCGAAAATAGCCGCTTTCGAAATTGAAACATGTGAGTGATGTTCATCATGCTACACCAATATGCTGTTTCTTGATACCTACAGCGATTCCATTAGGCGGGCCCGACACGATTAATCCTTCATTAAACGACTGACCTTATTTCCCACAGTTTCGCACAGTCCATTCATCGGTCCTATTTAACGACTTAATATTTAATAACGCTTATCTGAACTTTCGTATGGACAATTAGCGTATGTTCAGCCTGGTACAAGCTCGTTCCTGCTTCCACTACCCGTCAACTTTGTATATATGTAGAATCGTATATAACTGAGCGTCCACTGAGTACTTTTTTAAAGGCCTCTGCAACGAGGGCGTTAGGCTCGAGCGCAAACATTAGCGCTATTTACTCTATAGGGTGAGAGTAGAGCCTTTGCGTGCCACTTTTTGTCCTCTTGTAAGCATCCTTCTGTATGAATATCGAGCATCTTTCGACCGAAATGAAAATCAATATAGCTTAGCTCATCAAGACTAGATAGATTGTGTTATCAAAAATGAAGCTGTAAACAGAGGGGTCAACGGCGAATATGGGGAAAACAATGAAACGTCCGATGTATAACGTCTATTATAAAATTATCTACTATAAAAGGTTTATTCATTCAACACGTTTGTGTTTTTATGACACAGCCTAGAGTATGTTGCCAATGCAGTCATGAATACTTGCATTTTATTATCTATTCATTCAATCATATCTATTATTCCATCTACGACATATGTTATAACATTTACCTGTCTACGAATACAGGCGCGAATGCATCCATACATACATGCTTAAACACACGGTACATGAAGTACCATGTATACTCATAAAAGCTGGACTCGAATGTGGAAACCTCATTTGGTTCTTCATTGAAGCTCTGATATTCCCCTCGAAGGACCAACACTGAATATAAATTCGGTATGCAACTGGATAGAAATAACTATTTTCCTTAATCAGGCACCATTTTGGCCTGTGATAACTTTAAAGAGTCAAACACCGAAAAAACTTCAATTTTAAAATGAATTTAGCCTCTCGGACTTAGCGTAGTGATAAAATTGCCATCAAATATTTTAGGCAAATAAGTCCACATGTTGCCAAAACAAATAGTTGACACAGAAGCGCAGAGGGCCGGCAGATAGTCATCAAATCCAAAAGATTTTTTACATACAACTGTTAAGATGTGTACGTTTTATTAAGTGATAAGTACGCCGAAAATGTTATTTGCATCTATTTATTTATTACAGCTGGTGGCACTCTAGTAGAGGTTCTAGCCCGAGGTCCCGATGCTCTTCGCGCATACAAACAAAGCTGTGCTGCAGGATGCGTACCTTTGCGTCGAATTCGACTATTCCTTGTGGGTCCACAGGGCAGCGGAAAATCCACTTTAAAAAAGGCCTTACTGGGAGAAATGGAATCGGAAGACTTCAAAACTCAAGGTCAGCTTGGAGAGCAGCAAAAACGGGTAAAGAAGTACAATTTTAAAATATGACCGTGGCAAAGAATCTATTGTAGACGCTTAGTTCTCTCTTCAGTGATTCACATCAGCTTACGATTTACGAGCTAAAACAGAATCGACTAGGAAATCACCCCAATCTGATTGACACCATTGTTATCAAACATTTAGAGGAGAAACTACATTGGACTCCATACGCTTAGTTACGCTGAGCATTACTTTATAAACTTCTATAATCAAGCTCAGCAATTTATATATAGCTTTTACTTGCAGGTACTGTCATTCAGATATCGAAACGATCTTGTATGGCAAACAGGATGCGAACACGGATACTGTGCAGCAGCTATATGTATAATCGTAAATTTTGTTCGTAAAGTTAGATATATCCAAGCTTAAGAACTCAATGAAAATCTTTACGAAGTAAAAAAACTCCGCATCAATTTTGAGTTACCGTGAACGTATGTGTTTCATTAGTGAACAATTTGGCTCTTTCCTTAACAGACAAACAGTTGATGTGAAATAACTTTTGCCGGAAACATCGGTGCTGAAATGGTGTTGACGTATGAAAATTGTTTGTTTATGGCTCTGTCAGTAGCAAAAATTTAAAGCATTAATTCTATGTATGGTTGTCAAAACGAGTTTTTGATTCAGACGAAATCACTGAGAATCTTACAATCTTCAGGTCACGGGCTTATTGTCAATATTCGATAGAACATGTACAGATAGGTAATCTATATTAGATTGACTGGCTTTCATAGTACCATTAACCTGCTCTTCTATGCGTCGATCTATCAAACTTGGCCTGGTCGTGTTGCGTGCACGCAAAATCCAACCCAACAAAAAATATCAAATAGTTTGATGGAAGGAATTGTTTCAGGTCTATATAAGCAAACATCTTGTTACTAAAAAAATGTCTTTGTTCGTAAGATCTGTATTTGTAATCATCAGAAAGTTGTAGCCGCTTTTTAATAAACTTTTTGTTAAACATTTTCGTGTTTCGCTCTTCAGTAACAACGGAGAAATAAGAAATAGCTGTTCTTGCAAAAACCGCGATCTCGCCGCTAAATACTGAAATGTCAATTCTGGAGCGTCGGCAAATGTGAATCATGCTTGGTCTAGACAATCGAGCTACTTTGAAGTCTCGAGCCTTGGTCCATGACTGTGTCCATCCGGATTACTTTAGCCGTCATAGTATAATAAACCTGCATAACACTCAGCCATAGGCGTGCCTATAATATTTGCTGCCCATCTGTTTTTAAGTTAACCGCTTACGGTGCAAATTTCAGACTGAATAAATGTATGGATTACGTTTTGAACAGTTTACAAATGATATTTTGATATACACAGGTAGACTTGTTGCTGCTATAGCTAAAGCTGTTATTAAAAAGAGAGTTATCAAAATGCACCGGCTTCTTTGTATCTTTCCAATCAATATATTTGTGAAATATGGATTGGCGATCACGCAAAAATAGCCTTCCTTCAAGCAATTTTTTTATCCCCATCAGTCTACACATGTCCATTGTTCGTATCCTGCTCAAGCCTTTGTAAAAACAGTATTTATAATAAAATCAATATAAATTTAAAGAAAAGCGATAGCCCAGGACTTGACTACCATACACCTCTATTCAGCTACTGCAACTAAAACGTGCAAGTAAAGATGCATAACCTTTCTTTATCTTTGTCTGTTTATTTATGCACACGATGTCGTGTCCTCTTGAACACCACCGATCAAGCAAAGGTCTTGCAGGTCATGAAAGAACTGTTGATAAAATAAATGATAACTGCTAATTACAGCTGATAACAGCTGCGGAGCTGGCTAAAGGTTTATAAGATAGTGCAAAAGGTGAGAACAGGCTACAGACATAGCAGCGATAAAGAGAATTTTTACACATATTCGTCACAAAAATAAAATCGTCGTTATTGCCCATTATTTCTAGTCGGCGGAATCGATGTTCGATTCGGTCGACTGTATCACAGCCGAGGAAGGCGATGGCACCTCATGGGTGCGACTGAAAGATGCATCGTACCCTCCAGATGCCTCCGGAGTATCTCAAAAAGAAGACCTAGAGAAGAGACTTGAAAACTTCATCACCGACGAACGGCTTGAGGAAGCCATTGCTCAAAACGTCGTACGAGAGCTAACTCTCTCCAAACGGAAAAAACAAACTGTGCAAGCTAAACAAGGTTAGCATGTCGGAGACGAAACGGAGAAGAGAGGACGATGAGTTACATATAGATGGTACTTATAAAGTTTGATATACCTAAGCATTTCTCAACGCAGATGATCTATGCTGTCCACAAATACGTATTTTGACACAGACAAAGGTAGGCCCGCATTTTCCAAAACCGGCTTTAATGATTTAATAATCTTGACCTTTATAAATATTTTCGATTTTTATAAGCGTTAAACATTGACACTGGAAAAAAAATTATAGATATATGTATCTATATTAGCCGTAAGCGGTTGTGTTCGCTCTTTCTTTTCTGGTCAGTATATAAATGTAAATATTGCTAAATTTAATCATGTGGTATATGTCGACATATACATATGTCTTTTAAATCAAATGTGTGTAATACAACTCAACTTTACTATCATTAGTCAAGATTTTTCCATTTTATTCTTCTAGGAGCTGTATCTCGAAGTTCGTTACGGGGCCTTCGGTTGAAACGCGCGGAGCCTGCCCCTCAATCATCTTCGTCCTTCACAGCAGACGCGAGTTCTGACAAAGAAGCTCCGGGCCGGATAACGGCTCGCGAGGACGCTAGAATCGTACAAGACTTGCCAGAAAACATCATGCGCCTAATAGATGGTTTGTTTCGATTTCACAACAAAATGTCTCTTATTATGCGTTTTGTGCCTAATTGAGGGAATACAAATCAGTGTAATAGCTCTTGGTATTTGTTATTAAAGACTAATCACCATTTATCAAATTGACTTGTGCCTTAAGCGCTAGCCTTATGATTTGCTGAGCACAGCGCGTTCTCGAACAGTGCAATATCACTCAGAAGTGATTAAATTTTTCTCAAAAGCAAAGTGCCTTAAAAAAAATGCGCCTGTTCAACGGAAATAAACACGGCGAACTAAACAAGTTCCTTATTGCAGTGCCTAATAAATGATGCGGCAGCGTTGTTCAAGCTTGCTCACTAAATGCACTTCTGTTGCCAGGTTTACTAAAAAGCGAGCCAAAACAAGAATGCAACAGTAAAGAAACCGATAGATCATCAGCAAAGAGCCCCATCTTTCAAAAGCCCGTAGCGCCTGTCAAGCTAACGGTGAATATCGTTGACATCAGTGGAGATCGCCACTTAGGACTCAATTCAGAGACATTCTTCACGCCGAACGGAATCTTTCTGCTCGTGTTCGACATCTCGAAAGAACTAGACAGCTCAATAGGCGATCAAATGTCGTTGGCTAGTCCGCAGGATAAGACCTATCTTGAGTGTATTCATGAAACACTGATGTCGATTCATCTCAGGGTTGCGCATACTGGCACCGAAATTCCAGAAGACGTCAAGTTGCTCGGTAAATTTTGCTAATAAAGAGCACCGTTTCGGCTTGCGTCATGAGTGGCTTCCACTGATAAGTTCAACCTGTTAGAATCGCATTGACGTTCATGAAGGATCGCTCATGAATGTCGATTCCACAAACAATGCCTTTGTACTAATCTACTTATCTCATTGAATTGATTTGTGATTGATTGATTAACCATTCATTTATTGATAAATCAGTCAATTTATCAACTCAGTTAAAGTTATTCGTCAGTAGGAGATTGGTAGTTCCGAGTCATTTGTAGGTAAAAGCTCAGTCTTTACTGTAATCATTAGGCGAGGACTCGGACATCAGCGGACTACAACCACCAGTAGTGCTCGTTGGGACTCATATCGCTGCCCTACATTCGGAACGAGACAAGCGCCTTAATATGATCTCAGAAAAGTTTCAACGTATTCGGGATTCATTGAAGGGAAAACAATTCGCAGCTCACGTAGTTCAGATGTATTTCTCTCTTGAGCTCGTCGATCAGAGGTACACACTCACATGCACCAATCGAACAAAACCCTATAGCTTAAATATTGAGGGAATCTTTTACTATATGTGTAGAATTGTATGTGTAAAGTATGTTTTTCTGGAAACCAGTACCTAGCTTACAAGAAACAGTTAATATATTAAATGTATTTAAATAATTTTCAAAAATGAAATCTGGCACCTATCAGGGAAGTTCAGAGGCTCAAAAATGTAATATATGCTTTCAAGTACCAGATGATTCTCTTCTTTGCCACAACGGCCAGACGGCCAAACTCTTTAGGGCTTTCAAGTACAAAATAGGTCTCTTCCTTGCCATAATGTCGAGACGGTCAAACTCATTGAGGCTTTCAAGCACCAGATGATTCTTTTCTTTGCCACAACGGCCAGACGGCTAAACTCGCTGGGGTTTTTATGTACCAAATAGCTCTCCTCTCTTCCGCAAAATCCAGACGGCCAAACCCTTTACAGTTTTCAAGTACCAGATGACTATCTTCTTTGCCACAACGGACAGACGGCCGAACTCGTTATGGCTTCTAAGTACAAAATAGGTCTCTTTCCTGCCATAATGTCGAAACTGTCAAACTCGTTGAGGCTTTCAAGCACCAGATGATTCTCTTCTTTGCCACGACGGCCAGGCGGTTAAACTCACAGTACCAAATGGCTGTCCGCCCTGCCACAATACAAAGGCCGCACTTGTTGGGGCTTACAAAATCGCAGGTAACCTGAAAAAGAAGTTAATTTAAAGAAATAAAAAAAAGTAACAAGAAACGAACAGGTACTATAAATTTCTGGTATATAATCTGACCGGACTGTACCAGCTTGGTCCGTTTAATGTCCCAAAGGGATAAATCAATTATGGTTCAAAATGTGCCGCTTTGTACTTGTATCTCTATAGAGACTATACAGGTCATGGAATCAAGTACATTTCCATTATAATTTAAACCCATAAGGACAGCTGTAGGCATAGTTTCCTGTCTGTTTACTGTCAAACAAACCATGAGAGTCTTTATGCGCTCGAATTAATCTATTTCATATTTCAAGGTTTCATACATAACAAAGGCCTAGAGACATCTTACTGCAAAAGGACAAATACCCAATAATGACCAACACTCTAATCTCAATGATACCATTAATAGCTAGAATATTATCCGACATTATTATGAGGTGCAAACAAGTGTATGAACGTTACAAATATTTCTTCAGATCATTAAGAAATATTTATGATTTTGGGAAACTAATTAGTATATCAATAGTTTATTAGTACAACCTCTTTACACTAGTTAATATCCTGGAAACACTAAGATGCTACCAAATCAAAGAAGGTCTACCGATGATCAGGCTTTATCTGACTGTTAGCAGCCAAAAAAAAACTAAACTCCTATGGACCCGTTGAACGCTTGCAGTGCCGAAGAAGATTCAAGTATTGATGAGCTGCGATCTAAGCTTGAACGAATAGCTCTTCGCTCCGGAGCTCTTGATGTGGACATACCGTTAAAATGGCTACAATTCGAAAGACTTATCGGTCGATTAGTACAAGAACAAGATTCGTTTTTTGCCGGATTCTATCAGCTCGAAGAGATGGCTCGCCAGGTCGGCCTGGAACACGGTCAAGAGTTTCGATCATTGGTGCACTTTCTTCACCAGCAGGGGAAGCTTTTCTGCTTTGGTTGCCTTCACTCCTTTCAGCTGGACTCGCAGTGGGACGGGGTCATTATCTTACGACCCAATTGGTTTATCCTACGCTGCATTGAGCTATTCAATGTGAGATGATACATTTTGATAAAGTTTTTTTATGATAATTAAAGTGTGGGATAAATCACATCAAACTTTATGATTTCTGCTATGTTCATAGGTACAAACAGTTTCAGCCTTATCGTCGCTTAAACCTTTGCCAAGTCCAATACGAACTATGAGATATCTAGACAAAGATGCCTACAGAGCAGCTTAGTGGCACGAAACTTATATCTAATTTTCCTACACGTCGTCATATGAGTAAAGTGTATTTTCGATTGACCGTGTTCTGTTTTTTTTTTCGATTACAGACATCCAATAAAAACGCTTTGATGAAACTGAGCAAGTCCTATTTAACCGAGCAGGTCTGGCCGAAGCTGGACGACCAAGCAGGCACCCTGGTGTCAATATTAGATGCATTGGATATTTTAGTCGAGAGCTATTACGAACCTCAGCTACGACGGACTTATACCGAGCAGAACGAACGCTGTCTGGCGGTCTTTCCTTGGGTAGCTCTCAGGCCCATAACGCCGCTCAGGTAAAATTAGTCCAGTTATCATTTTGATGAACAGTTTCACATTCCCACAGAAAAGTCTCATAATAGGCAGGCGACAACATTTAGCTTATCCATAGCCTTTTTCCCTAAAAAAGTCTATAACTTAAAGAATTGACAACTTACTGATGATTTTACTGACGATAGTGATCAACTTGCAATACATTTACCAAAAGTGTCACTTTAACGTATATTGGATAATGGAGATATTATAATATTTTTTTGAGAACTTTTTCAACGGAAGCTTTGGATCCACATGCTTGAACTATATCTATGAGTTAATCGTTGTTGCCACGATTTGCTTCATGTTGGCCGCTGACTAAACTCGACTATAAAACGTATCTCTAAAATGCTTTTTTCTTATACATGATGTAATAATGTTCCGGTAGTAAGTCGGACGGTAGCAAGGCTGCTGCGTTAGGCCAATCTTGAATCAGTGACATGTTCGGATATGTATATCTGGGCAAAAATATGCTTACTGGACTTTCTAATAAAGAATTTATCTTCAATAAAGAGCCATAGTAAGAAACATACTAATAATGCCAGAAAGACACGCATCTTAAAGTCGTACGGCGACAAGGCCAAAGGCACGTCTCCCATGGCTTCCATAATAGCTGCCAAGAGACTCGAGAACCAATGGCTGTTAGGCACTCTAGTCACCTGAGAATCAGTAAAGGTATGTAGCAATGCAAACGATGTATTATTATATGCGTTCCTGTTGGCTTTAGCGAAGAAATTGGCGAGATGTGTCTGCATATGTGTCCTAATTATGACGTTCACCAGGTTTCAGAACCAGTGTTCGCTAGATACGATGGTGTTTTTTGTTGACGTGGGTATCGCACTGACAGAAAGCGTGTACCATCGGTTCGCGTGCCGGCTGCTCAGATGGACCGACTGGCGCGAATGCGACATCTATAAGAATTCGCTTGTGATCCCACTCGACGCTGACCATACATTACTAGTTCGGGCTACACAGAATAACCGCTTCATTCAAATTATGGTGCGTTTTTTAGCGCATAGAAAAAACACAGGAAATGTCATTTAAATTTTGAACGCAGCTGCTGTAATCTAACTAACCAGGATCGGGAATCACATCATTGTGGAAGATTTCCCGTTGCCTAGAATAGAGCTCGGAGAGCAAAAAATAAATATAAAAAATACGTTTTTAATCTTCTCCCTTTTCTTTGCGAAGGAATGCTTCTTTGAAGCAGGTCGATTCACGCGATTTTTTCCAGTCTGTTCAAATCACATTCTATCAGAGTTTTTGGCATACAAACAACCACAGTAGGTTACTCTAGGTAGCTGCAGGCAAGCTAGGCCAATGACAGATCTCAAGTATCGTGCTAAGGCAACAAGAAAATTACGTATGCTTAATATTATTGCATGAAGTCACAGAGTTTCAGTAGTGATAGAAGAACAGCGCCTAAATTAAAAAAGAATCAAAATAATGAAAAACACATTTTAGGTACCACAAATATGTTATATGAACCACACACCATGCACACGTCAGTAATATGGCGTTTTGCACAATATTGTACCAGCGACTATCTTACTATTAGGTAGCCAGTTAAGCGTGTTACGATTGTGATTTACATGACCAAATTTCCGGGTGAAAGATTCAGCAAGCTCTAATTTTTGCTATGTAATGCGATAATACACATGCACAATATGCAATTTTAGGGAAAAACAAGGAAGGAAAATGTTTTGCGGGAAAATAAAATAAGGAAATCGACAAACTAACTTGCTCAACGTTTCAAGCGAACATTTTTTCATCAACTTTAGAGCATACGTAACCCTAGGAGTTAGAAAGTTAAGAATTACACTACACCTTGTCAGTACAACTACAACGTCAGCGCATGATTCACTTAGGTCCAACGTGTGCAACGTGGTCGTGAAAATTGGCTAGCGTCGTCACCGCCACAGCCGTCAATCTGTGAAAAAGTTCGCCATCTAGTCCAAGCAGAATTGGAATCTCTACGCCAGTCTTGGTACACTCGATTAGCTTTCGAGCTGGCCGTGGCATGCCCATGCGACGGCGCTGCTTGTGCCTTGCATGGCCTTCGACCGTGCAGAAGCTGCCTACATCTTCTCCCACTAGATGACTGTTTGGCGAAGAAAGTGGTCTACTGCGATTTCAGGTACGCTCTAACATGGACGGTCGACTCTGCCACCCAGAAATACACTGCTATAAATGTTCCATACTATAGGAAGCTTGCAAACGATTATATTTTATCCTCGGAGTTGATACAAGTCTTTTAGCCAATCCCGAACTTCAATGCTGCTCACACTTATCACATCTATCTGTGTCATTTCAACGCACGCGGAATAGACGCGTTGAAACGGAGTTCATCCGGGATCATTTTCCGCATTCAGTTATCCATGGGATGGCTGTTGGGGCCGCTGGGGGTGCGGCAAGTGGTCGCCGAAATTCGTTTGGATTCGCCTGGCCGCAATCGCAGCTGACGCTCAACGCAGATTCACTTTGGGATGAACCAGAATGGACAAAGGAAGCTGCCAGGCTAATAGGATCTGATTGGGTTGCACTTGCTAAAAGACTCGGTTAGTAGTTCACTATAAAAGCCGGCATAGGTACAGAAAACGTATCATCATTTACCTGGTGGTATCTACAAAGTCGAATTCGCTTTTTTTTTTTTATAAATAATAATAAAAAAACGATGATTGTGTTTATAGTTAAACTGGGACGGTTACCTTGAAGCATAACGCCGGTCCTTTTTAGAAATGCGTAATACCACTAGTTTACTTCCCAAGACTGTACGTTGTATTGTAGATATTTCGCTGTTCGCGACCAACGCGTTCATCAGAAATGTGTCGTTTATGAGCTCGCAATGAAAACCTTTAACAAGGCGAATCGTTTACAGCTCCATGGAAGAGTATAGCGTGTACCGTGCCGAAAACCTTCAATCCGAAAAAGTCGCTGCACGAATTTCCACGCAATTACCTTTTCTCTACTCAGAGTTATTAAAATAAGATTTATTAATTTTTGTTTCATTAAACTATACTAAATGCGATACGTTGGGTTTATAAGCAAACACTCTGGCTAATTTCAGTCCTTTCTATAATTTGGACATATCTGAGTAGATAGTAGTCTTTTGATTTGAGCCAGCTTGAGATTTTGTTTCTGGCCTTGTTTCCTAGGAAATCAATACATCTGTACTAAGCTTAAAAAATTATATCTGAAGAAGATAACGGGAAACTTTTTTTTACTAGCGGCAACAACTTACAAACCAACCGGGTCAGTATAGATGCTGTACCGTACGCTATCACTTTAAATTTTAAGTTAAAATGGTATTTCTCCTATTTTAGGGTATACTGATCGAGAGTTGAGTCGATTCTCAGAGGAACCGGCAGCAGGTCTGGCCTTACTACGTGACTGGAGAGAATCAAACGGAGCTACAATGTATTCGACTGACGTTCTAGTATCGTGTCTTCAACAGATGGAACGAGAGGATATTGCGCGCCTCATCCAATCAGATGAGGCACCCCTGCCCGTCGTGTTTATTAGCTACCAATGGCATTCGCAGGTAAAAAACATAATAATTATAATATCAATGGTAATACAATTGTAAAATAAATTGAATTTTGGACCCCATGGATTTTTAGCCTCCATCGAACGGCCTATAAGATATCTAGTTTTTCATTCTCTAGAACTACAGCCTTATAAGAATTGCTGTTTCATTAATTAACTTTGGCGGTGATATCATTTCTACGAGCAAACATTTCCTTACTGTTCACGAATGTATACATCTGCTGCGCTTGTATCTTATTGTCATTTTGTAGGAAGCTGTGCTGAGTATACGGCAAAGACTAGAAGCGGCTGGGCTCCCATGTTGGATGGATGTGGGCCAGCTTGGGGCGGGCGATTCTCTTTATGGCAAAATCTACGAGGGCATCTTGCGTTGCAAGCTTGTGCTCTGTTGCTTAACAGCTAGGTATAGCCATTTTATACTGAATAGCTAAAATCAATGACCGTATTGCGTCCTCTAAGGTCTTAATTAATTGATTGGTCATTAATTGATGTTTTCTGAACGAAAGAATTTTCGCCAAAACACTGTATGACCCTTGTTAAGCAGATGAAAATTACCGTTTACAGATATGCCGCGTCCGCTAACTGTGCCAGAGAACTCTCGTTAGCAGATGTTTTACGTAAACCGATTGTGCCTGTAATGGTGGAACCGACACCGTGGCCGCCTCCAGGTCCTATAGCTGTTATTCTCTCGTCGCTGGTATATATTGATCTTTGCGGAGTAGGTAAGTAAACGCAGACCAATTGTACACTAACTGAAATGGACGGTCTTAACTTGTCCAGTTTTGTAATGCTGTCTTGCATTAGTAAGGTGTCCGTACTGTTGCTTACTATGATAGCTTCTAAAAAACTATCATTTGAAAATAAATTTCTGATTGGAACAGCAACAGAGTGTTGACAACAACTTTCCAACATTTTGTGTGATTGCTGACTTCGCTTAAAGGTGGCCATGGTGGATATGGGCGAGATGCCGACTGGAATTCTCGCTGTCAGGATATTATCGAGAGGGCCAACATGCTAATCCATTCAGCTCCATTAGCGCCTGGTCCACATTTGCCCGGAGCTCCTAATAGGAGGCACCAGCTAACTTCAGAGGCTACAGGAGGACCTGTTCCGGCAGTGGCCCAGGCCCATGCAGTGCACGCCGGTTCACCGAAATCACACGGAAGTGCTTCGGACTTGCGGCTTCGACCACGCATGAGCGATGCCAGACGGTAGGCTATGAGGAATTTATATCAATCATATATATCTAACTTCCAATTTCCTCCATGTTTATTTCGAATACAATGCAAGTTAATTTATATTTACAAATAAACCTAGCTTGAGGCACTAGACAACAGAAAAACATTTTCCATCCCTTCCCCGCTGCAGGCTGAAATCAATTCTATAAGCCTTACCACGCATGAGTACATATGCTTGATTAAAGCTTGTTGTACTGAATTGTTACTGAACTCGCACCTTTGGGTTTTGCAGCGATTCCGCGTCAACGGTTGGAGGTACGTTTACGCCTCCGCCTGCGGGGGTTTTGAACGAAACGGGTGAACGACTGAGCTCAGCATCGTTATCTCTGGGTAATCCTTCGCCGACGCTGAATATGAGCAGGCCAGGTACATCTGGCCTGCACGGACCAGGAGACGGGTCGGCGCAGGTCGTCTCAGGGAGGATTCTTCGGTGTACCGTATGTGTGGTACTTTAGACGCACTGGCGCATTTTGATAATGGGTGCTTGTTAATCCGCTTTTATCCACGAGTGAAGAAGCAAACAAAAACAAGAGCACTATTATTCTATCAGTTCTTGCTGTATCAATCCTATTCGTTAAAGTCACACCGGAGTACAAATGATAACACACTGAAAACCCCATTGCGCTTCTTAAGTTTAGTCGCGTGAAGTGCTATAGATACTAAAGCAAAAAAATTTATTCAAATAGATTTATATCAAATGTATCGCCACCTACACATCTTGCTTTTACTTTTTTGACAGACACTTCTGAAATTTTATTAGAATTTCCTGCAGCTACAAGCGGGTTAGAACTCGTGAAGCTATAAACTAAACTACTAATAAATTTTTCGCCTTAAAAATTGTTAGGAAGAGGCGTATTTGATACGAATGATGTCAGTTCAGTTGAATCGACGGTAGAACACGGTAAGGGTTATCTTTATAGAGTACCGTACCAATATAACTATTAGCAAGCGAAAGGTAAAATATCGCAGATTGATCGTATGGTTAATTTGACCATATCAGTCATGTCTGCTTATACGTTGTACATAATTACAAATAATTTTTATGCAGTTGTACCATTATAGATAGGAGAAAAATTTTTTCGTATGACTTCATCATAACTGCAACAAAATGGAAGCATGTAGAGCCTTTCTTATACTGTATATGTATGTATCGGTACTTATATTAATTATGTATCATAATTGTTATTAAATATAGATAATAGCGGTACGTATGACGTCACGCAATTTTCAAAACGCGATCCTCAATAGCCTTGTGATTTTCCTTATAAAAATTCAGTCCACAGATTATTACTCCTCTAACCCTTCTCGGACATGCACTAATGTCGGACTCATTCGCTTTACTTATGCCGTTTACTGAATAACTTTCATTTCCTGGCCTTCCTGCACACTCACTGAATCTACAAATTTCTAAGATGAATCTATACACGAAACGTGTATCTCACTCTATTTAATAGAGGGAAAGAAACAGAGTTAAAAAAGAGGAAGAAAATGCTACCTGATCCTCTGCTGCCGTTAACCACGAGGATCGCGGACATGGACTTACGTGGCTAGAAAGCGAAAATAAATCTGAAAGTTGTTGTTCTTTTTTAGATACCACGTTTTCCTTCAACTTTGCAAATCATACAAACTGTAATCAAGTTTACGCAGAACAAGCTGGCGCGCATAGGGTGCTACCTAAAATAAGGTACAGCCTACCTCTATATCAATCTTAATTTTACGCATGTTTTTTTTATTTACTTGTAATATATTTGTGATATAATAAATGGTTTTAGATGTTCGTTTACAGCGCACGTTTATACATCAATCCATCTGTTCCCACCTAAGTGTCGACCTGCTTACCACGATTAATAGAACCTTAGTTTTTTAGCATTATCGTTGTGCACACACCAAACTCCTGGTTGTTTCGGTCGGCGGCGTTCAATCAAAACACAATTGTTTAGCTTAATTTACAATCTTATATATATATATAATGTTGAAAATGCTTATGCACCTTACATGTCGCATCGATACACGGGCCGTAGCCAATTTCCAAGTGCTGATAAACATTTCTAGTGTACCATCAACACGAATTGCGAAATATTAAGTAAAACAAAAATGGTATAGGTACGATTATCTCTCTAAACTGTTATGGTTCACAAAACAGTTTTCACTTTAACAAGTGTTCAGCGAAAAATGAAAAAAAGCGTTGAATAATGAAAGCTTTCAGAATTTCAAGTTTGAAGCAAACTAATAGGCCGTTAAATGTCGTAAGAGAAAAAAAGGGAAGTAGCAGATAACAGCTTTGATCTATAACGAACAAAGATGAGCGAATTAATCGCAGCTACATTATACCTAACACATTTCAATTCATTTCTGGCTTCGTCACGCTATTCGTACTGTGTCTTGTGTGCACGCCCTCGTGCCAAAAAGTCTTAACAACAGGGTTCAGGAAAAAAGTGCACTTCTTCGATTAGGGCCTGCACTCTTATCAGGTCGCGTACTGTCGGTAGTTGCTAACTACCCCTTGGTGCAGCCACTTTTTTTTTTAATAGTGGGCTGAACGTTGGCCTTAGATCATATTTAGCCTTTGAATGTTGTCTTCGCTTCTTAAAAGCTCCTGTTCCAGTTAGCAAACTATCCGTCTTGTGCATTCACTCTGTCACTAACCCCGCCGTTGTCACCTGCTTCTAAACTATGTGAAAGATGGGGCGGGGCCCAGCCGATACCGGTGCACTCGATGATCGTCGTACCCGAGTCCCTTTCGCTTATACGAAACTTCGCGTTGGTTAGTTTTTCGCAAATGTAGATTGCCGTCTCAGCATGCTCGCTCAGACGGTGACACCGAATACGCGATTTGCCCTTGGCCAAAGCCATGAAGATGACGAGTTGGTCCTGCATGTACTCGTCAACTGTCACTTTTCGATCCATGACTTTCACTAGGTTTTTTCCACATTTGACTCCCAATAGTTCAGCTCGAGAATCTGTATAGCAGTAGAAACGGACAGAGCGTATCGATGATTATCGTATGGCATTATTACTTAGATAGAGCTACTGTTAGTAAACTTCAACAAGTTGAGTTTTTATAACCGAGTACAGACGTTCGCAACAGACCGCCAGCCTGTACTGCAGAGGAAAAAAAAACTAAAAAAAAAAATCAGAAATAGTTCAACAGATTTGCAGCACTGTGTGATTTGACAAAAACCAAACAGACCTAGTATAAGGTTCGATGACCTCAGCAATAATGGCATTGTAAGCTAAGACCTGTGATAACTCGAGACATATATTTACTCCGTTAAACTTACTTTTTTGAAGTAGCGCATCAGCACCAAGAACGCAGCCCTCCGTAAATTGTACAGCAAGTACGATTCCCGCAGCTGATCCAACGCACACTTCAGGCGGCTCTTTAACCCGGCGAATGTTCACCTCGCAGGGGTAATCAGCTTTCACGTTGGCCGATGCGCCTGCAGCTATTACTTGCGCCACCTGTAATCAGTCGTAATTGATGAATGAATTTTATTGAATCACACTAATCTTTTCTATCATCTGCGACCCTTAGCAACAGATTGTATGATAATGTTTTGGGTTTCACTGATTACTTCACTGATACGTCGCTACCTGCAACTGAGTAACGTCAAAAGATCATGAATAGTACAGGAACAACTTCGAAAAGGCATTGTGACATTGTACTGACGTTTAGCGGAAGTCCTCCAGCAGCGAATGAGTACCCAGTCATCTGAATAACATCTCCGGGTCTCGTCATATCGACAGCCTGAATTGGTTCCGATAAAGGGGATATGACAACTTCAACCTCGCCCCCTCCGTTGGGGTAATAGCCCCTATAAGCAGTCAAAATAATTATCAATATTAGATCTTACGTTATGTAGCAAACTGTGTGCTACTAATGTTTTTTTAGGGTCTTGACAAATCGCTTAGCGTGATCACACATTTACCTCACTACACTTTTGCACTATAATATAGTTTATAAGGGCCAAGCCTACAAAAAATTCCTTTTACATTTTACAACATAGTTAAGGGATAAAAAAAAAAGTATCATAGTCAGGTCACAGGACCTTAGTCGAAAAATCGATTTCCTTAAATGCAGCATAAAGATAGTATCTCTTAGAGCAGTGTACTACTCTCCTATGCGCTTACCGTCGTTTGATGTCGAGAACGAAATGTACACCGAAATTTTTCAGCCACGGCCGAAGAACCTGCGCATTAGGAGAAGACCATTCAAATTCAAAAAGCACACATCCGTTAGACAATATACGCAAGCAACGACGCATTGAACTGCCATTGAACCAACTACCTGGTAGCGTTGGCAAACACTGGCTAGCGCTGACTGCTGACCCAGCTCCCGATCAATAGGACGAACACCTGCGGTGGCGGGATGGTCTCATACCATCATGAAACGGGGGTAACGGCTAGGAACGTCATGTGAGGACAAGATATAGCGAGTGATGCCCGCTACCTAAGGACAACAACACGCCGTCGAATATTATCCCCTATCAGGTCTCAGCTCGTTATCAACAAAGCCTACGGTCGTCTGGAGTACACAACACGAAGTTACCGTATCGATCAAGTACAGCAAGTTCGATTTGGTGTTGGTGTTGTTGTGGTCTAATTAAAAAATGTTTTCGCTTTTTCGTATTTTTATTTCATTTGTTTTCTGTTTCGATTCTTCGAAAGTTGGCGGCTTCTGTGGCTGGTCGATGGTCGAGATTGTAGTGTCATACTCACGGGAGGTAGTCACTCTGCGATCAGCTGGCTCTGAGAACGAGGCCGCGATTGGGGCCCCGGCGGGATTCGCTTGGATTAAAATTACCTGCATCCATATAGACAATACGACCTCAGCAAAGCTACTATACAACCAACCAACGCGTTTCGAGGATCGGCCCGACACAGATTTACACGTGTCACAGCCTCAAAATCATACACACTATGCTATCTACAGAGGAAAACAAATAATGAGACGAAAACTGATAATGCAACGAAACAAGCTGAATACAACCGAAACGAAAGAGATACAAGTAATACAACAAGAAAGCAATCAGAATTGTCACTATTTCTGCAGCACGTTGGACTTTGCGAGTGTGTATAGCATATGGACAATGGTGAATTCTATTCTCTTTTGTATTTGCATCAGTGACATGCCTCTGTTCTAACGGACGAACAAAGGCTATTCTGGTATACTACTGGTCTGTGAGTGAAAATTTTTACACCAACTGTTTCCCTTGATTTGGTATTCATCTGATTTTTGATGATTTTCTTTTTCCACTCTCGCGGGAGTTTTTCCGTGGTGTCTGATGTCGAAATATCTCTGCTGTTATTGCTGTGTTTTAACTGTCAGATCTGTACCAGTGATGAAAACTATAAAAAGCTCTCATAATTCACCTTTTTCTCTCTATCTGTCTCTCTGCTCGCAGCCTTTCTCCAAAAAGATCTCATGGTTGACCAGGTTCTATTTGAAATTGTATCATTTGAACATTTTCTCACCATCTCGATGTAGTCGATTTGAGGAGCCATGTCACAATTTGTGCCTCCTTTCAAGGTGAGGCGGGTGGGCGTTCGTTCCGGAGCGAACAACAACACTGGAAGCGCCACCTGAAGCATTAACGCAACGCTTCTGAACAATGCAAATAAAAAAAGAAAAACATTATAAAAGGATCCGAGAGTTCAGGCGAAGACCGTTGCCTTATATGTCTCAGTTAAACCAGTATTATTTAGGAGGTAATGAAGCGTTTGAAACACACGATGCAGACATAATCGTCGATACTACTTTTGCTAGTCACTGCTTACCCTGCAGTTTCTGCGTCGGCAATCATTGAGCGTCCGCCCAAAATCTTTCCAGGATAGAATGTTATTTCTCGGGAGCTTTCTTTGCAGCCTTCGGTTACTCCCTGCGTGACCCTGGTCACCAAGTCTAGTCCTTTCATGTGTTGACGCCTAAAAAACACGACATCATTAAAGATCTACAGGTGACTACGCCGCAAAAACAGATTTAACGCGCAAAAATTCTCAAAGGAGCTGTTCCCATATAAACACACAACCCAATACATTTTCTCTATAATATAATCGTGCTTTTCCTTTTATGCTGTCGAACAAGTGGGCTCATTCATTCTCGTTCTGTTTAATATTCGTAAATATCGACTAAAGCTAGTAGAAAATAAACGAAACTCACTTTAATCCATCGCGACTTCGTCCCTTCCGTATGTTAAAAATATTGACCGGTTTTCCCAGAATTCCTGCAAGGGCGACTGCTACACGAACAAGTTGGCCACCCTGAAACAGAACAAAAATCAATCTTCTACTAAAGTCTGCGAGTGTTTTTCTTAGTACCATTTCCTTCACAGATTGAAAATTCAAGATTGCTTTGAACTAAATGAACAACTCATACCATTTCAATAATAGCAAAGATTTCGCAAATAAAAATTAGCATTGAATGCATTTATTTAAATTGGATACAACTCTTATCAAACTTCGGGTTAGATAGTAGAATCGTCATCAAAATTACCTTAGAACTGACTTCAACCATTGTTACACTAAAGTACTATATTGGAGAGTTGATGCAACATCTACTTACAGCCAACATCTAATAATCTGTGATTTCTGCACCTTCTGCATTTACAGTTTCAAGCACTTAACAAACTAATAGAATAGCATGTTTATCCGCTCCTGTTTCAATATGAGGATTTGGGAATCGAAACAGTTTCATGTTGTGTAGGACATGTGTTTTTTGATGCCCAAGGGATTTTTGTATTGACATACAATACTCTCAAGCATCGCACTACGTTTTTAATGAACATGTCCATGTTTCATTAGTCCTTTAAGTTCATATTTTGCTCAGCGTGACAGGGAAAATATCTAGTACAGTTACCCGGGAAATACCTTTACGTATAAAAGTATTTTAAATAAAAAAGGTATAAAAAAAACTTTTAAGCATAAAAAGAAGGTTAGAACAACTCACAAAATATAGAAAAGAAGTTTAAGTAACAGTTCACTAGTCTTTTATCGCATGTATTTTATACATAGTGACTATTTGACTAAAATAACCGTTATAAAGAAGTTTTAAATGCGAAAAGTAAAAGTGTGAACGTCGATTTATTGTGCTAAACGTGTACTTGCAGAAAGTTTTGCACAGCTAATTAATACCGTACGCTGGAACAAGGCGTACGTAATCAACAAATTTATAGGTATTAGTGTTAGAAGATGCTCTAGTTAGAGCCCGAGCAGTCGTTAGACGTAGGAGTACTACATTAATACGAGGTAGAGATCAACGGCCTTGGATAAAAACACTTAACATTGTGAAATTAATATATGCTAGAAAAAAGCAAATAATGTAAGATGCTGAACGGTAACACCTAACGTAAACATTGAACATTTATTTTCGAACACCAGAGAACATATTTGATGAAAAGTAATTAGGTGTTCAAGTAAACCAAATATTAAATATTACTAATCAAAAGCAAACGTGCTTACACATTAAAACAGTATACGATACCTTGGTTGGTACTTTGCTTGATCATCAGCTACCGTTCACATCCACTTTATGACATAGTAAAGCTAACTCATTATGTAAGTTGTAGAGACATGCTATATTGGTATAAAATCTTATTGAAATAGCCGAAATATATTAAATGTATGCTTCAGATGCATGACAAAGCTGTTTTTACGAGTTCTGCTTCACATTAAACCTGTGTCTGTAATAAGACTCGCAGAAGAATAGTTGCTAAAAGTAGGAGAAAATACAAACCCCTTCGAGAGTGCTGCCATCGATAGAGACGGGTTTCTCATTCGACGAACTCATTGCCACTCTAGAGGTCCTTGAACCGCGGCGATTGCCAGTTTTTGTATACAAGAGTAAGCACACTGTTCGTATTGAACTACGTGCTAGATTCAGGCGCGATTGCAGAATGAACCTCTTGCCGGCGTAGCTACCGCGAGTGGCCCACTGCACTGATTTTGATGCTATCAGCCCGCTCCAACAGCCGAAGGTGACAGCAGTCCGGAGTGGCTAACCGCCGCCAAATTCGTCCTCGGGAACGAACTTCAGCTCACCGTGACCTGGGCAGTTGACCAATGCGCCTAGGGAAGTCAGCACAACACCGGGTCACCGAGGTGACAGGGGGCGACGGCAGTAGCTAAATGAGCAACGAGTTGTCAGTCAGGCCGCTGTCGAATCATCAACAATGGAGACTCATTCGAGTTTTCTACTAGCCGGGTGTAAAGCGACCGCAGGAGACCAATCACTTTACTAACTGCTATATCACAAACAAGAGACGGAACCAAAATAAATGATGACGATGATTCCTTTCAGGGCTAACTCAGCAGACGATTTTTCTAATCCCTGTACTTACTGGCTAACGAAAGCGGAGCACGCCAACGGGCTGCGAAGTTAGCAGACGGCAGGATACAAAAAGGAAAGCAGTAAACAAACAAATAACAACTCGGGAACATAAACATGCAGTTCGAATCACATTGCGGAGTGAATCAAAAGCCGGCGGCTTATGTATGTTATAAGGTAACGTGAAACAAAAGGTATAACGTTTGTTTGAATAGAGATTCCTAGGATGAGACAAGTTTCTCAATACTTTGCGCCTTAATCGTGTGTAAATCTGTCAATGTTTTGCGGCCTCTGATCCATAACCATAATACTAGGATCGCTTTAGTAATGTGAGAATGCGATCGATTCTTAACAAACTAAGTAGCTTACTAATTTGTGGGAATTATCAATGGTGCTAGTGGTATATGTTAAAGTTGGGTGAGAAAGACGACTTTGCTATGAAATCCATTGTTTTGCTTCGTCCCAGAACATCCGAGTTAGAGTTTAGTTGTACCAGGTGAAATTCCGAAACGTATGTTGATCAAAATAGGCTGACGGAATAAGCAGACAAAAGATCTGCGGAAATTTAAATTTGTCTTTTCAGAAAGTTGTTTTTATAGCAAGCGTTTGTAGTCCTTAGCAAAGTCGAGGTCACTCAGAATATATACCTGACATTTGTCTAATAGTTCAATTTGTGCTCTTTTTTCTTTGGCACACGAAATGGTACTCTGTATTTGGTTAAAAAGTTATTATTTTCAATGACATGATGCAACAGTAATCCCGAAAAAACTCTTACCTAGCATATTCCTTGATGCCTCAACATACTAAATAGGTCTGTAAACTTTTTTATGGATATGTATTATATGTAATTCCGCTCTTCTATCACGTATCTATTAAATAAACAATTTTCTTTTGTCTTACCCGCGATAGGCACTTCTTCATGGTGCTACCATTATTATGCTACTGATAATTTGTTGCTAGATGGGAATGCGCAAAATTACTTATGGCTCATATGCGGGATTTATATTTTGTCAGTTTCAGGCACAGCAAAATAAATGGGTGTCGTGTCTGTCCACATGGTCCCTTGTTCGGGTCCGGAGGCTCTTCACTCCACAGCGGAGGCTGTCTGTCGACTCGTTGAACGGCAAGGCGGACGCCGAGAAGGCGGCTTCTGCGTAGACTGCGAAACTTTCCAGAATGTACCCTCTGGAAGACCTCTTCATATTCTGCATGACAGCGAACGTCCTGCGTAAGCTTTTGAATCATTTTGCCACAAGAAAGAGCCTTCCTCTAAACAGCGCTCGACGTTCATTTCTGCAGTGTACACTGGGCTATATAATTGTGATGTTTAGTACCACAGTATCTTGTACTGTTGTCTGATATCTGGTTGGATTGTTAGTTAAAGATGTATAGATTTTTCTTACAGCAAATGGTTACGAGAAATGAACCTAAAAATATAATAATCATCAAAATAGAATGAGATGAAGGGTATCGCCCTCGGCAATTTTTTAATGATTGGCTGTTGTTTTTATGCTTATTGTGCAGTGACCATATGCATATTTATTATGGTTTAAACATCACCATATATTAGACGTCCGTTTTTGCTTATTAGTTTTCTGCGGAATTGCGTTTGCTATGCTCCTGTATTTTAAAAATTTCATACTTCTTATTAATAATAATTATCCATTGTATTGCAGGTCAGTGTTTTCATTGTTAGAATCAAGACTGTGCCTTGTCGCGGATGCTAATTTTGATGCGCTGATGAATAAACTTAGTCCACAGCTTTACTCCACAAAAATGGGAACAAAAGTCGAGTGTAAAGGGCCACGTTATCAGGTATGAAGCGGGACTTTTCAGGCGTTTAGTAAACTAAAGTGGGTTATATTTGTTTCAGGCCGTACACTCTTGCAAAACGCCTAAAGAAGGTGGTTTGACTGAAAAAGTTAGCATTTGAAAATTACGACAGAATAATTACTTAGCATATTGCCTAAAATGAGACGTTTCTTCTGATCGATTGCAGATTGGCGACTTCCTTGTGAAAGTTGGCACCGTGACCGTAGGAACATCCGCCCGCGGAGTTCTTGTCGAATGTGAATATCAACCTTGCGTAATACCTGCTTCTTGTTGGGACCTCATAAGAGAACTGATGGAACCTATCCTCGGTGAGTCCTTTTAGCAGAAAAGTAAAAGCTAAAAAAAAAAAAGATTGCAGATGTTTTTTTGGTTGTTTTATTAAGGAGCTTTGATTCCACCTACCTAGAACACAGTAATAGCTTGATTTATTGCTATTATATGTTCATTAACAGGTATTTCCCTACCTCAGCCGAACCAGTATTTGGCTCCAAGAATGAATGAAGTCTATTCCCCTGTCGATACTATTCAACAGTATATGGAGCATTTTAGCGTTCTCCGAAGAACGAATCAAAGTGGCGCGCAAAGCAGTCAAAGCACTGGAGCTCAACCCCAGCAACAGGCCCAACAACAGCAACAAAGTGCGGGAACTCCGGGTCAACCGACCCAGCAAGCCAATCAGGCGACCTCTAGCGTCCAGCCGCAACAACAAACTCAGCAACCACAACAACAAACAGGAACTATAAAGACTTAAACAACACGTCTGAAGGTGACTTCTTGCTGCTACCGTGTAAACGTCGACATTGACCGCGGAAATCTACAAAGTTAGCTTTTGATCCATAAGAAACTCTATTAAATCCTCTTGTGGGTACGATTCTGTTATTATCATTCGTAGAACTAACCAAATGAAAGCAACCGACAAATTAAGTAAGCTCTCTGCATTGCAATGAACAAGACGGAGCGAAAAAAAGAAATCATCGGACGATTTGAACTAGCGGGCTACTGCCAAATAATTCCAACTGTCCTTTTAGAAATGAACGATCAACATAGCGATCTGACTTCATAGTACTCGATCTACAAAAGAATTGCATTTCAGCATTATTCGCATAAGGTACGCAGCCGAACAGCTGCACGCGCTATTCTCAAAATTATTCTCAACGTTTTTATATTCCAGTAACATGAACGCCGTATGGGACGCCTGCGCTGTTTAAGGGTAAACGAAAAAGCTTTCATTGGTTGACGTTCTTCCCGTACAAGCATACATGGCTCAAGATTGTCATAGAATGCTATCTATAAATAATATGTACATAATCCTCTTATATATATAAAATTTGGTAATGCGTCTTTACTAATCCTCAATAGTATACTGTAAACGTTCCATAGTCAAATTTTATCGACCTCTTCAGAATATTTTGGCAAAAACAGTTGATTCTATAGATATTATTTTTTGAATGTATGTGGAAGTTAGGAAGCCCTGAAGACGGCATACAACTTCAAGACCTACTAAACTTCACTCTTCGCAAAACTGGTTAAGTTAGTTGTGCAAATTGAAGCTATAATAAATGTTGCCAGTTTTGCTAAAGGGAGATGAAGAACGAGACTTTAGGAACTGTATTAAATTTGCATTTGTAGTATTTTTATCTATAGGGATCATGGCTGTACGTGGATACTAGCTTAGTAATCCAATTACTATACGTCAGTCCCAATACAAAGTTCCATAGGATAATACGACCAATTACATATGAGATCTAAGTTTTCCTGCTTGGTAGGGTGGGTCAGAGGGAATGTGAATGGAAGTATACAGATGTAACAGTGTCATCCTGAATACATGCCACTCATGAAAGATTACCCAACATTCTAGGTGTGCCATCATTGTCGATTAGGTAAATGTGTATAGGGCGTTCTCTGAAGTATCACAGCAATCAAATCTAGCTTTATTAGCTCCGTATGGATTGTCGCCGTATAGAACTAAATACATTTTTATTTAAATTTTAGTTGCATAGAGCGTTGAGTTGAGTCATCACCAAGTGGCCCTTATGCTACTCTTTTTTTTGCTCATTGAAAACGCTTTTGAAATAATTCTTTTTTATCATTCTCGCTTTTTGACTATACTTGCTAAACTAGGCTAAAAGTCTATCTGAAAACGTTTTGTGATCCAAGGATCTTTCTCTGCTGTTCTTGTGAGGCTAGATCTGATCACTAAGTGAAGCAGTAGAAAACTCTAAAGCTCTCTTGTTTTCAGGATTTACGCTTAAGTTGAGGCGAAGTGTCTTATCAAATGGTGTAGACGTTTCTTGCTGAACATGAAGATGTCTGTTCATTTACACTGATATTTTTTGAAATTTGAACGACGTTCTTTCTTCAGTTGAAAACATAACATATTTGCAAATCATACATTACATGGGGTGCAGTCCCTTTTATTTTGAATTCCTTACCTTAAGAATTATGACCTTGTTAAAGTAGTTATTTTGTTTTGCCACTCAATTCCCTTATAAATGAGCGTTTGCCTTGTTCTCTGCACCGGGTATATTTATAAACGTACAATTTCGCATAAAAATCAAAATTCGTCTTCCTAATATCTCATCAAAGCCTAATGTTTGCATCGTTTTAACCTTGTGCACTACATCTTTTCCATGCAGGCGAGTCGTTGAGTCACGGTGCTAAGAATACTTTTAATAGGAAAACGTAAGGGCAGACAACACGATGACGATTTTCTATTCACAGTTATAGAGTGCTTCGAATGCATTGCCAAAAAATTACGTGGCGAAATGGTGCTTTTTGCGGCATTTGCTGCGAGAAAATCTAGTCAAGACGCCTGCTTTGTTCAGACGCCAATTAGTTCTTTTGTGTTACAACGTTGTCGAAAGCAAAAAGCTGCATGTAAATAGCGGCCTCGACGGTACGGGGAATATTTCTTGAGCACTGGCACACTCGTTGAAAAAGAAAACGGCCAACAGAAACGTTTTACCGCCAGTTATTATTTGATCGGGAGATTTTTATGTCCTCTTTTGCTGACGGAAATAACTCACCTTTTGCATTTGTCGCTCAACGAGGCAGTTGAAGTCGGAGAAGTCGCAAAGAGAAGAAGTCCAACCACAAGTGAGATTAGCTGATACGTAGAGACATATCGACTAGGGAAATACTAAAGGGAAATAACGTCAATTTAGTTGTTAAGAGGAAGCGAAGACAACCAGAAACGGAATATCAGAAGTAGATATCTTAAATCTGGGTCCCTGCCGCTACTCGGCTCTGCTTTGAAGTACACTGCCATATAAATCGAGCTATTGGATGTTGAAAATTCTCGCTGATAGCCGTCACTCTGTTTACAACAGAAGCTTGAATCTTTGTGATCGCCTCTTCGGCAAAATTACTTCTATCTATTCGACACTGAACGATGACTACAGCGAAATTATCGCCGATTGAAGATCGACATCGCAGTATCCGGCTTTGGGTTCTCGTTGCTCACGCGTCAGTAGGTCTTTTGCTTCGTTTGATGGGTGCCACGATATGCCATTACGGCAAGGGCGGGGAGAGTTCCACGGTGTTACGGCCTGTCTACAGCCGCGATCACCACTGTAACTGCGATCCATTTCACTGAGCGCTGTGATAGCGGTTTCATAGCGCTGTCATAGCGGCCCGAGGTGGTTCACGTCTTGCCACAACAGATCAGTCTCTGAAAGACGAGCTGTCTTTTTGTAGAGCCATGAAATCTATGCAATAAGAACAGCATAATCGGCTCTGCCAATTCCATGGCAATCCATGGCCTTGAATAATGGTCCAGTCATGAATTGTGCTGTTTCTCGGTTAAAACAAGCAAAACCATGTAACATTACTGGTTATTTTCTGCCACCTTTTTATAAAGTATTCGCTTATCCCGCGCCGAAAAATGTGAGTTCCGCTGTGGTATCAAAAGTGCTGTCAATTTGCGCAATGATAGTGACAAGACTGTGTACGCTGCCGTTTATGTGGATGGCCGTACTGAGTATGCAAGTCATTCTTGGAGACGCACTCGGCATCATGAAGCCTTTATGTATAAGGAGAGTACGTATGATGTGGTCGAATATATACGTATATATATATATATAACTGTATATATAGTTCAAGTGCGATTTCTATATCAATGGGAAGTTTCACGGAAAAAATGTATTTTCTAGAGGCACTTTTTTAATTGTCTTAGTTTAATCTATAGCAACAATCTGCAAGCAGTTTCGGCGGGACTTGTTCAATACAGTTTTATCATTTCTTATTTCTAGTGGCACCATCTAGCTGACTATTAATAAGTACAAGTGGGTAGGATGAGGCAATCTGAAAACCGATGATACCTGAGATCACAAAGCAGTTGCAAGAGTTATTATTCCCTGTAGAACGTGCGTCTGTCACCGCTCGTGTCCTCCTAAATGGATTCGCTGCGAAAATACCGATTTTCAACATAATTATTTGCTCAATGGCCCCAGCATCATAAGGTCGTGTTTTTCACATGTTCATGAAACGGCATAAGAAAAGATAAGGTTCACTTGTTGTAATTATTACTCTACGGAATTTACAGGGTACCTAGGAAAAATATTTGTTAATATAGATCTCATAGAGGAAATTTTCGATCCATTATGGAAGGCTATAAATATATGGGCAATCATAGCTTCATAGGAAAATAGAAGGGATATTGATTTTAAAATTTGACACATTTAAATTGATTCATTTAACAAACCTGCAAATATCAGTGATTGACGAATGACATTTACAGGCTTTATAAGTGTAACGATGCAATATTATCATGAACAGCTCTGTTTTTAATCGCCGTGTCCCAATATTTCTTTTTTATGTTTTAGTAACGCAGTGGAAGTTGTATTGTGTTATCGAAATTCTTACAGAATCCTTCGGCTAAATGCTAATTAAGAATTGGCAAAAAGATAACATTCGTTAAAGATTCAGCTCGTTTTTTACACATGCGTCCAATATCGATTTCCACATGGCCCGCATTCGTAACTAAATTGCATACGAAATGTTTTCGAACATTCTTTTTTGTCGATTCCATATAGAACTGAAGATTTGGTTTCTTAAAAAATGTGCAATGGCCCGTATGAGCTCTGGTCTTCCTTCACATAAGAAAACGGACTTTGTTTCCTAGCTTAATTTATCTTCGGCTGCCGCCAATCTTAAAATCCTCCATTAAACACAATTTTCATTTTTCTAGGGGTATACCATGTGCGGCACTCGACTTGTGCACCCATCCGCGCCATCACGAATCATAGGAGGTCGTGACGCTTTACCCGGGGAACTTCCTTTCCAAGTCGCTCTTTATCGTCAAACGTCGAAATCAACTTACTACGCAAGCGGGACCCTTTTAACTGATCGACATGTTCTGACTTGTGCGCACTGCATTGATGGGTGGGTCGCAAGTGTCACACCCTTCACAAGATAGCTATTGGTTTCCCTAAAGTACCGTTAAGCCTCGAGCAAAGCATTCTGCCTATTAATTAAGTTTTTGCACATTTACAAGATATTTCTGTTGTGCTTGTGTATTTATTAAACTAGTTGCTATAGCCATATCAAATTTATATATGAGCCTTTATTGATTTTTAGGATAGCGTTAGTAGATATCTTTGAACTTCTTCTGGGGAAATTGCTTTTACTTATCGTTATAATTATGGATTGTATTAGGTAAGGATATAAAAAAGATTTTGTAGTTGGTTCACGATGATTTTTTGCAGGTTCAATTCTAGTGAGGTAACTGTTTGGGTTGGAGTGCATAGAAAAAGTCTGCCTGCACTAATCAGCAGGGGCCGAATGCAAAAGGGCGGCCAGTTTTTTGTGTACCCAGCGTTCGACAGAAGGTCTTTAGCTAATGACATTGGTGAGCTTTTTGGAGATCTACGAGTCATTGCATTTTAATAAAAGTGATAAGTCCAGGATTACTTACTTATCTATTAAATTGGTACATCAAGTGTCCGAGTAATGCTAAAATAAGTATGTATGTAAAAAAAAGAAGTATGAACCTAATCTCTGAATGAAAGAAGGATTTCCAGTCATTTTTACCCTATCTTTCTGTTCTAGGCATTATTCGTCTTCGACAACGTGTGGTTCTCGATGGTTTCGTTAATACTATTTGTCTTCCATCAAGGAGTTCGACTGTAGCACCAAAGGCATTCGTTGCTGGATATGGTTATATTTATCCGAGTTAGTTTTTTGTGTTGGCATTTCCGAATTTCAGCACATGAAAGCATTATTTGGTTACTTTTAGCAAACATTGTGTATGTGCTGATATACTTGTCACCGTCGCAAATTTCAGATGGGCCAACGTCGGATTTTCTAAAAATTGTTCAACTGGACGTAATTCCACCTTCACAATGTTTAGAACTCCTTCCGGGGTTTGACATAAACCCAAATACATCCTTATGCACCCTCACCAAGGACAAAGACGCTTGCATGGTATTGTTGCATTATGATATTTTATCGTAATTTACCACAAAAATAGCAGTAGATATATAGAAAAGGTTTCAACAACTTCTCTTTTGTATTGCTTGATTGCCTAAACAAGTATTACTAATGTTTCTGTTGCATTTTGCTTTTAGGGTGATTCTGGTGGTCCTTTATTTCAGGAGTTTCGTGGCCGTCTCGTACAATATGGAGTAGTCTCTTGGGGCCGTGCGTGTGCCCTCAAAAACTCGCCGGGTGTCTATGTCAACGTGCTTGCCTATCTTGATTGGATATTTGGAATTATTGATCTCGGATAATGAATTACTCATATTTATTGATGTTTCGATTAACTGGTCAGCTTATGCACAATAATTATATTTACGCTTAAATGCTATTCCGTCATTTTGTTTTCATATTTTTAATTGGTGACTATTGTGAGTGCTATTTTTCAATTCTACCAACGGTTGTTTCTCGATTTGTAAAACTATTGAGTAGTGCGTTTAGCCAAATCAATTTATTGCATTAACGAAAAGCTTTATTCAAAGAAATTGTTGGAGCGAATACTGTGATATCATATGTAGAAGGTTATGGCTTTCAGGTGGAATTGTGGGACAAATTTAGATAATTAAATAACTTAAACTGAATTGTCAAGATCCGTTATTACGAATATATGTTAAGTGTTGCCACTTTGCTAAAAGGGGATAACATGGATAAGGCTGTCAACCTGAACCTAGTATGCTAAGTTAACATATGGATAAAAACCCTTCAAATTCATCTGTTCTTCTGAATGTTTCTCTGCCCCATCTGCCTGTAGAAAATAAGTATATGCCAACTAGTATGGAGTGTAGTTAATAGTATTTTTTGTTAACTAAAGAACAGGTTTCGTTTAAGTAAACGAGGCAACTAACAAAGCTTTGCGTGTGATTCCTGTAAGAAGTGCCCTAGTACTTTGAATGTAAAACGTAAGGCAATATTGACCTTTGTTATCGTTATATTCGTGGATGGTCCTAGGCAGTTAAACTGGGAACGACAAACATTGCTGATTTAAATCCCGCAGTAAATAATGTAGTGTTAAATGAAGCAGTCTTGTATTATTAACATTATTCTTATCATTATTTGGTAATATTTTACGTGAGTTCCTATAGTCTAAGGAAATACACTGCTACAGATGAGTGTATAATTTTATTCAAGACTGAGCCTTTTCATATCACAATATGCTTCGTTATCAATAAGAATGGCATTTTGATAATCTGTGTAAATCTTTGTCCGTTAATGTATCGTGTGCCATCTCTCCCTTTCTTAGAAAAGTATGCAAATGTTATGCAAACTTGAAACAGAATCGTTTGTTTTTATAGATAAAAACAGAACCTAAATTTCAAAATGAGAATGAAAAAAAACAGTGATAACTGCAGTGGTTTAGCTCTAAGGAGAAAAAAAAACGTTTAAAAACGTAATGTTTCTTTAACAATAAGATGAAGTTCTAGTGATCACATGCAGTTGTACGAAACGTCAAAGTTTACGCGTATATGAAAAAACGTTATATGCAAACAACAAGAGAACTGCAGCAAGATTAAAAACAAAACAAAACGCGCTGTACTCAACTGCACATCAATGTACGTACATACAAAAGTCGCGACGGAGCTTCAACGAGGTTTTCCCATGTGTTCCACATATGACCAAACAGGTACATCACAACGCTGGTTTTCACTCCACAGAGCAGTTTTTAAGAGCGTTTCAAAAGAAGCCACTTTTTTACAAATCAAAGTAAATAGACGCTTGATAGAAATCTGAATCGTTACATCTGTTCATATACTCACAGAAAGACACAATTCAACTGGTAGATAACATCTGTTATTTAATTAGTGGAAGTGTTTTATGTTGTGGGGTTATTGAAAGTTGTATAAACTTGAATTTAGAAACTACCTACGAGTATGTTCCTGTTATCGCTAGCACATGTGTTCACGCTGAATGGTTGAGTATATCAGTCGAAATATGAGTTAATCAACCATGAAGGGCATCTCTATGACGGGTGCGCATGCCCTTATGGAAAGGCCTTTCCGGCCCCCGTAAACTAGGGGGTGTCTATAACTTACTCTGAAACGCCGGTTGCTGGTTGGTTCCGGGTGAAATTGGAGGTCGTAATTGCGGGAACCCGCCAAAGAACGCTTCCTGGAGTACGTCTTCAACTGTTGAAGCGAGATGAAACGTCATTTTTTCCCTGACGTTTTGCGGGATTTCAGACAGGTCACGTCGATTTCGCGTCGGAAGGATCACTCTGCCAAGACCTGAACGATGTGCGGCCAGGACCTTCTCTTTGACTCCACCCACGGGTAGCACCAAACCTTGGAGCGTAATCTCACCCGTCATTGCTACATCGGAGGCAACCACTCGTTGTGTGAACAGCGACACCAATACGCAAACTAAGCCAAAAAACAAACCAAATCATAATAAAAAACATGTGATAAAGGATCATCTACTGATAGAACTCCATCATCTAAAACGACACACCTTATGTATTAATGCAAAGCACTGCTAAATTGTGAAGAATGCGGATACATGGAGTAAGTGTTGCTATTTCCACCATCGCGGTGAGAATCACCAGAATTTACTAGACTATTTCTTTTCATTTGGACAAAGAGCCACAACATATTCTTCTCTATTTGCCTGTTTATTAAAGACCTTTCTGAGCTTCATTTTTGGTTCTCTGATCAACTTATGCCAAACCACGAAATAATTTTATCATTTTGTTACCAGTAAATAACTTAATAGTCTCTCTTTTTTTAGGGGCGAATTTAACGTTATAACGCACACATAATAGCTCGATCTTAATTAATCCTGTTCTTACCGATGGTGACCCCAGCCGAAGGGCCATCTTTTTCTACTGCTCCTGCAGGAAAATGAACATGAATATCGGTTCCGTCCATAATATCAGGCTGAGTGAGACCGAATCGTGATGAGTGAATACGCGTCCAATTGAGAGCCAGCGTGGCTGATTCCTTCATCACGTCGCCAAGTTGACCTGTCAATGTGAGTTGGCCTGTGCCACCCATTTTTGATGCCTCAACAAACATTACTTCTCCTCCGGCGGCAGTCCAGGCTAAACCGATCGCCACGCCAGGCTGGATCAACCTGAAAATGTCGTATATAATATAATACATACTAATAGCGTTAAGCTCACATGAGAGTCAGCTATCTTATTGGCTACAAATTGGTTGCCTTTCTATTTTTATATAAAGCATACGTTAAGGATGTTTTTAATTAATGTGGCTGCGAATGGACTACTGCTGCATTCAGATACATTGGTAGTGTTTTTTATAGTTCAACCTTGAGTCGATGTCCATATCAAAAAGGGGCGGTCCGAGGATATCTTCAAGCTGTTCCTCATCAATATCGATATGAACCTGCTGCACCTCGTCGTGGTCTGATTCGACTATTTTAACGGCCGCAGCACGGCAAACGGCGCCTAGACGTCGTTCCAGAGTACGCACCCCCGCTTCACGCGTATAACTCGTGACTAAATTGGAAAACGATCGGGTACAAATAGGTAAGTATTTCGACAGAAGTAAACTCAAACACTGAATATACAGAATCTGTTTGGAAACCAATTCTTTAAGTCAAGGTTAAACATAGAGAGCATATATAAAGGCAATTTTGTCAATTTGTCTTGAATGAAGGGTGCATTAGAGCAAGCTCCTTGAAGGCTTAACATAATCAAACAAAACGTTGTTTCTAAGCTACTTCCTTAATTTATTTTGAAGTTACTTACTAATCTTTCGCATGGCATCTTTTGTAAGTTGCATCATTGAAGGCAGTATACCGTGCTGCTGGAGCTGTTTAGGTAGAAGATGTTCCCTAGCTATGTGTTCTTTCTCATCATGCGTGTACCCAGGCACGTTGATTAGCTCCATACGATCGAGTAAAGCTGGAGGTATGGTGGACGTCGTATTAGCTGTGGCAATAAACAATACTTCACTAAGGTCAAACGGGATATTCATGTAATGATCCGTGAAAGAACCATTCTGCTCTGGATCAAGCACCTCGAGCAAGGCGGCAGCTGGATCACCATGGATACCTGGAGTCTAAGTCCGAGAAAAAGGGTTTCCTCTTGATAACGGAAGGATGGAAATAAATAATACTTAAAGTTCATATGAGACAAATGTTGGTATGGACTTTCCTCTATGTCTAACATACACGTGCTAGCATACATGGCTACAAAAGAATAATACAACTGTGAAGGACCATACAGGCAAAGAACTCACCATCTTGTCAATTTCATCAAGCAGAAACACAGGATTCTTTACGCCGACGGTTTTCAAACCTTGCATGATTCGTCCGGGCATAGATCCGATGTACGTCCTTCGATGTCCTCGAATATCAGCTTGATCAGACACTCCTCCAAGCGATATACGGTAGAATTCTCGGCCAAGACTTTTAGCTATAGATCTCCCGACGCTAGTCTTACCAACTCCTGGCGGTCCAACAAAACATAAGATAGGTCCTTTGATCCGGCTATTGAGCTTCCTCACTGCGAGATACTCGAGAACGCGCTTCTTCAACTTCTCCATACCATAGTGATCGTTGTCAAGATCGGCCTTGCTCTTCTGAAGATCGATTTGTTCGCTGCTTCGCAGATTCCATGGAAGATCGGCAAGCAGCTCAAGATAGTTGCGAGTCATTGCATGCTCGGGCATATGTGGTGGCATCTTTTTGAGGCGGGCTAGTTCCTTTACCGCGGCCTTTCGCGCATGTTCGGGCAGCTCGACGGCGCGAAGTTTCTTCTCAAGTGTTGCCATGTCGTCTACATCGTCCATGTCGTCATCATCTTGCATTTCAAGCCCGTTTACACGACCCATGTCCTTGCCGAATCCAACAACAAGGAGTCCGTCCTTATATTTACCATTCGTTTTGCCTCCGCCTTTGTCCTCAAGGGCGTGAATTTGTCGGCGTAACAAAGGCAAAGCCTTTTTAATTCGCTCAGAAAGGACAACCGCATCAAGCACTGCAAGACGTTCTTCATGGCTTGCAGCCACGATTGAAGTACTGATGTCTGGCAGGGCGTACGATGGTAGGGCATTTAAGAGACGCTGAAAAATTAACGCGAAGGTGAACAACAAATATAGTCAAAATATGTAAAATAATCAAATGGGTCAGCTATTTATTCCGCTTTTAGTGTCATAGTAACTTTAAAAGTTAATTATATGGAAAAAAAAACAGAAAAGTTCCTTCATAATGTTGTTTGTACTACGTTTCCGGGAAATTTCGTCATTATACTTAAACACTTACCTTATACCTCTGTGCAGATCCTGGGCTGAGGTCAAGCCGTTCGACAAGTGTGCCAGCCATTGATCGAATCTGTCTAAGAAGTTCGGAGAGCTCGAAATCCTGGGGGTCTTCGAGGTTTAGTGACGTGACGGAGTACACGTCTCCTGGCAAGCGATCAAGTTGAGTCACCGACCCAATCAAATAGGGCGATTCATGAACAATCTCGTCCAAACTAATCAAATACATAATGTAACGTTACGGGAGTCACAAACGACTGTTTATTTATTATATCTCAGGCCCGATGAGAAATCTACACGAAATCTATACGGGCATATCATAACACAAAGCAGTCAACGAGCGGGCTGATGGACAACCAATTCACTACAGGGAGTAGTATATAAATATTGCAACGGAGGCAAGTTATCTCACTTTAGAATTCATAATGAAGTTAGTTTAGGAAATTAATTTTTAGTTGAAAATGTGTTAATATCAAAGAGAAGCATGCGGAACTAATGCCAATAGATCTGATGCGAATTGGTTTCTCCGTAGGATCTCCGCACAATTTCTAAGCGAAATCACAAAATCCCCTAATGGTTGAGGCAAGTCGGGGATCCTAATGCAAGGCATTGCCATTCGTATCGGGAAGGTGCTGCGAGTAGTATTTCTTTATCACATTGTTCATATACCAGCTTCTCATACTGTACTTCGTGTTAATGTCTGTGGCTTGGCTGTTTGCGTTTTTTCGAGCGTGGAAATTGTTCATTGCTTTTTGCTGTATGTATACAGCTCACCTAAACCTGCAAACTCCGTTGATTAGTAACGTATACGTCGACCTCGGCCAACTGCTGCCAGTTACTTGGATGACCATTCCGGCAGTGCCCACATGATGAAGAACTCCTGATTGCCCAGACTATAATCAGACAAAAACCGGAACGTATCACTGGTGAGAGCTTAGTTAACGGTAAACGAGGTAACGAAAGGTATGTCCTCTGATGACATTCAAGAGTCCTCGTAAAAAAAACTAAAGCTCTTTGTTATTATTTATCTTGTCGACTATACAGTTGTTAGTATAGACGTTGCGTTACTTTTCTACGAAAACCAAATGTTTAATGTGCGTGGTAGAAAGGCGATTAGAGAAAACATGTGCTAAATTCTGCAGAAACCTAATAATAGGAATTTATTATGACTTTTTATTCACATAAATAAGCACTTGTTGTTGAGTCTAGTAAGAGAAAATACACGCAACACATAATAATCTCTGTAATTTCATACCCTACCTCTCGTTTAGGGTGTTCCCTAGGGACGACGCCGACGAAGGCTCCGCCGATAGTGTGTTGATTTAGCAAGTGGTTTTTTATCATTGAAATACTGCGGATCGGAAAATACAGTAAAGATGCAATAATATTAGTTACGGTGAGCTCTGACTGGATGCCCCCGCTCAAAGGCTAAGACACCGAGCACACTCCGGCTATTATAAGCACAGATCCGAAGTATATTTATCAACTCTTTTATTTTCTATATTGTTCTTTCCGTATTGAATTTAATTTACATAAGAAAATCCTAGTTGGGTCCTCATTAATTGTTGCTTCGAAAATGATGCCAGAAATTAATTACAATTACACATATGGATTTTTCCCTCAAACATTTACCCAACACGCTTAACAGAATAAACTCGCCATTGAAGTTGCTCTTATATAGACGTGTGCAAAAAAACTCACAGCGCAATGTTGCGTATTTACTTGTTCGAACTCGACACGTCTATTGCAGATCGATAATAAGAAAACTATTGGCCAGAACAGATGCAAAGAAAAGTCAGAATAACCGAAAGGATCATCAATCGGTGGAAAAGGTAAATCGCTGTAACATATGCTTAACAAAATTTGTTAGAATAGCCAGAAAGACCACAGCCAATTCAAACGCTCTTTTTCTCACTGCATACACACATACATTTTTATTTATTATTTTTCAATTTTTTAGCCCAAAGAGTTATTAGTACGCTATGCACATCGCAGTGACGTGACGTAGCAATGTTGTCAAGAACCTTCTAGGCGAATCGATGACATCCTTCAGCAAGGAGCTACAACACGTTCAAAAAAAAGATCGACGAAGTGGCGCAGGGTCCAATGGGTGGAAGGATGAAAACGAGACGCTCATGAACAGCGGTTAAAGAGCCAGTGACAGAAGTATGCATATGGAGGCCGTCAGCGACGACCAAAAACCACCTTTGGCGGTAAACAAGCATATTCATTTGAAGTTTACGTATGTGTGTATGTGTCTTTTTGTAGCACTGGGCACGTTGGTTATGTGGGTCTTCTCGAAAAAGCATCACATAAAAATGGTCAATGTCCCATTAGATTTAATTTACGCCTGTATACAGAGATACGCAGTATAATAATTTTAAGCACGAATATCATTGTTCATTTCAATTTTTGTGCCAGTTTACGTACCTATACACCAAATAGGCATCAAAGCATCGAAACATTTCTTTACATCTTGCATTCTACTAATAGTCTCAGCAAAGACACTGTATTGTATTTGTATTAATTTTTAGTTTATTCAATAAGCTAATGTTTTGACAACGTTTGAATTCTAATAAAAACTATGACAAAAGAACTTGTAAATAATAATGTAACTATAGAGTAGTATATAGATATGATAGAAACTTAATATAGCCTCTAGTGAATGACCGCTGTTTCATTCCTCGTTAGAATAGGGAATTAATTATCGTTCTTGAATAAAAAAAAAAGACCGAGAGCACGCACTGTAACGAATACTGGAAGTTATAATATTATATTAATAAGCATATTTGGACTAACAACCAGCGTTTCTATTTGTTTTGTTTAGATGTCGGCCCGCTTGATTGTGTAATACTTTCGTTAAATATAACCTATAACATAATCATTAACAGCCTAGCGGTTCATACATACGTTCACATATTATGAAAAGCTTGTATGATCTTAAGTACTTCGCAATCGTCAATATAACCTTTCCATTCTCAATAAGACACATGCAGATCTTTCCAATTATTTCTTTTTCTAATTAATTTTGTGAGGAGGAACTTTGATAGATAGTATTGAATATCACTGGGTAATCTTTAACAGATTTCGTGAAACCTCAAATTATTTCTAAAATTGTGTTTCTTTCATAAATGTATCAAGATTACACGACCCCTGACACTGTAAATGTTGGCTCGTTCGCAAATCCAAAAACTTCTGGTGTGCAGGAAAATCAAAATCAAGTCAAAAGACAACAATCCATAAACAATGTGGACGTTTTCGTAACGTTTCCAGGACGAATCATCAAGTACTATTTATACAAAGAGACCATTTTGTGAGCATTGGTTTACGCAAAACCCAATAGTCCTCTAAAAATGACAAAATGTACCGACGACTGAAGCTCGAAGTCAGCAACTGAATACCTATTTCCAATAAGAATGTCTAAGTAGGTATAAAATAAACAGGATAAACAGCATACACTCTAGGTATTGCTATCACATTCAGGTTTATATTGAATATAATCATATATCTGCAATTTAAGTTGCAAGTGGTTTAATTCTCAGCTTCAGACTGATTGTTATATACCCATAATAATAAATGTAATGTTATGCGTTACTTGTTTCAGCCACCTTATTTTGTCTAATACAAACCATATACATATATTAAGAAAGGTTTTAGAAGCTTTTCGACCAGTGTCGCCAGCAATCGCTTTCGAGCAAAATTCTAGTAATGCAAATTTGAACACGTGGCATCGTTTCCATGTTTTTATGCAAGTCAAATTAAGAGCCATATAGATTAGTTGTTAGGCTGATTTTTGAGCAGAGGATTATAGATCAACCTGTTGTAATAGAAACTTCAGAATAATAATCTGATGTATATATGCGGTTATACCTTTTCGATGAGCTGACAGGCACTCGAATTGATGTTCCTGGAAAAAGAACAGTATCTACTATCAAAAGTGGAAGCCGTCGTGGCAAACGAACGTTTCCAGACGAGCTCGCCGACATCCTTCCTTTTTCGTGGATTGTCTCTTTTCAAGTAAGTATTACTGAAGACACGAATAGTTACGAAAGGCACTCCCACCAAGATTTATTGTTCTTCGACTAAAGTAGTATGGTCAGTATCGTTCTGTTTACAAAAGTGAGAGACAAAGTTAGATGACCTAATCAACACACTCTTGATTTTCCTGAAGCAATCGATAGTATCTTTGATCACTACTCAATTGCTGTATCGCCTCGAACATAGTTCTAAACAAAGCACTACTTCTGTCTTTTTACCGCCCATTTCGTCCACTACACCTGACCACTAATCATTGCACTACCAAGCAGTAACATGTTAACAGCCATCAAAAGTCCTCAAACCCCGATAGGGGGAAGCGGGGCGGGGTTTAAGCGCTTCAAGATTATATCAACACCAAAAGCTAAAATGTTTTCCCAGTCCGAGTAGCAGCTTGGTTGTGGGTCCGTTGACCACTGATTCCAGTAACAAATCAGTCGGTCAATACAAATTAGCTAAGATTTCACCAGTGTTCAACGTAGTGGAGTCTCAGCGCTGTTGCCATTGACGGCCATAGTGGTAACGACCGTGGCAACGTTTGATAGCCACAGACGTTACTATTGCGCTATTCTCGCTTGCTGCAGCGATCTTGAGCGTACCGTTTGCCTTCGTCCGTCAGACGGCTGCAATAGCCATCACGAGCGACGATGTTGGCTTGCTTCCTTCTCCTTGTTTGTCGCTGATTCACTTACCCTCTTTCTTAACTCTGGCGGTCTGTTTGTCTGTTTTTTGCGACTGGCTTACGAGTGAGTGATCCTCAGTCGTGCGACTTGCTGTTACCTGTTAGCCAGGCTGAGATTAACTGCGCCGTACTGGTATTCATTTCCGTGCCGTCACGGTTATAAGACAACTGTCGGCCATCGCTCGATTTGCTATCGCGAAACAAAGATTGCTGGAGCGGCTAACAAGCGGCGCTAGCAGTTGCGCGAGTATCCGGGACGAGCTCTCTGTAACAGTTGCTTGAGCGAATGAGCAGCTCGTTGTATGGAAGCGTTTCGTCTATCCATTGACCCCGCACTAGAAAAAACTAGCTGAGTTAACTGACTTACTAACCGCTGTGAAGACTGGGGACGGGGCGGAGGTTAGATGAGAAAGGGATTCGAATACGAGTATGGCTTTTAGCAATAACGATCAAAGTTGCCGCTACAGGGTAAGCATTTGGGTTTGGGTTTGGGTATTTATTATTGGACCAGTAGGTAATTTTGGTGGTGGGGTGAAATTGGGTAGTATACGGGAAGCTAGAAAACTTCATTTAGTTAGGTAAATAGTTCAATAGTGTGGAGTGTGCTGGATGTGTGACATTTTTTGTCTGTAACAGATGATTGTTTGGGTTTTTTTTCTAGAAAAATTGAACTAATGCACGTATGCAATGGCACAATAAATGTGGGCGTACATTTCCTCAAATTTAGAGGCGGAAGCCTGATCGTGGATGTGGTGCAACTAAGAAAGGCTAACGCTCTCTAATAAACTAAATTGAACCTGTTACTTATTAGAAATAAACGGCTATCTTATTCAAAAAATTGCGTAGTGTTAGCCTAGGCAGTATAGTCATTTCGTAAAGTCACCTACTACACTGAAGTACATCGTACACATAGGTTACCAAAAATTGCATTAATTTTAAACATTTTTTAGAGTAATTTTAACATTATAAAAGCTTTCACTAATTTACATTGCTATACCTCCTCTGACAAAACACCGCACTAGTTGCGTTCAAACGTGCTAACCTAGGAAGCTTGAATTCCTGTCAGGCAGGGGTTCAAGCTACCTAGGTTAACCTGTATTCTGTCTGTTATGTCACGTTCAGAGATTTAAGCTACTGGCACTGCTCGAAACTGTGACACGCAAAACATAATTGAAAAGTTCTAAATTTCTTCTATAAATTATTGACTCCAGAACGCTCGGTTTCGCTGCTATAAAGCACATTAGCTGTCCTCCGTCTAAATAACTGCGTGCACCAAACTCGCGTTTAAATGGAACAACGACGATCTAAATTTCAGGTTGATTTACATAGGTTACATGTGTATTACGCTGATAGTGAGTAAATAAGCGAAATTATTTAGGGAATTTTGCACGAAGTTTTCCATTATGAACCTACGGCAGTCTACCGTGTCTAAACATCTACTCCCTTCGATGTGACCATAATGACAGTGAAATGGCAATCACAGACAATGCTAGGTGGATGAAATTTTTAGAAAAATTGAATTGCTCTTCATATATATATATATTAGCAGAATTGAAAGGGGAGCAAAGGAAGTGCAATGTCGCATAAATCACTTTTTTCTTCACTCTTTTAACAGTTGGAGCGCGGACAATACCCGTAACTCGAGTGCATTAAACATTTACATTAGCTCAAAACAAATCATGTTCACAATTCGCATAGTCATTTTCTGTAGCATTCCACAAGAGTGTATTCCGTAAGTTAATTTTAACTTACCTAATTAGTTAAAGGTATTTATGAAAGCACCTTAACATTTTGCATATTTCCTGTACTAGTTCGTCCGTGTCTACCAGTGATTTCAGAATGGACGCGAATGCATTTACCTAAGGCCCATACTCATCTATTGGTGGAAAAAACGCGAAATGTTCAAGTTATTTTCTTGGATTTCAGTAATGAAATGTGCAAAAACATTTCACTGCTTTGGTATTTGTAATCGAATAATTGATTTGTCCACCTTAAATAGCAACGATGCGACTGCTGATGTTGTCGATGATCAATGGCGACAGGACCAGTTTGTAAATGGCCACCTGCCCTGCAGAGCCAATGTAGCGACTCTTTAGCCTTAAAGTGATTCTATTCTAAAACAAAAATAGCCAAGGGAGATCCAGAGAATTTAATCTTTAATTCGTTTAAGAAATTCATTGGCCGGCGTGAATTCAATTAACTTAATGCTCTCAATTAAAAAAAAACTAACTACGCGATCCGAAAATGAATACTCAATCAACATTTCAATGCGCGACTTATTTTAGGATAAAGTTCTATGGCTTCAGAAAAAATCGTGTAAAAGGACCCCTCTACGCATACTCATCTACTTCAGCCAGCCAGACAGATAGGCGTACATACGCAGTGGATTAGACACTTATGTTGATCGTAAGATAAATATATTGATAAATAGATTACAACGCCTGAGGCGACTTATAAACGTTGATTCACGTTCCATAAACAAATGTTTACTCTAGTTAGTTTTTAGAATAAGTGAAACATTAAAAATGAGGCGCGTGCTTACTGCTTAGACCTGTTTGATATTTTGTCCTTCGTACAGTTGGTTGCATGAAATTTCTCTAACTTACTTAAAAATAGCCCTTGTCGCTAAACGTTTCTCGCTTGCGAGGCATTATTAATCAACGGAAGATTCGCTCACTCAGTCAGCTCATTTCAATTACGATGCTGTAACACGAAAATTCCGAATCGAAAGACCCCTCGCCCAAAGTCCTCCTTCCCTGTTGATATCTGTTGTATGATCAACAAACCAACCTTCTGCAGGTCAATATAGAGTAGGATGATGACGCCGACAACGACTGGACCCTGAAGCTGTTCCTTTCCGTATGTTTACTCGTGATAAGAAGCTATTGACCTTCACTATGATGAGGTAGTTGCACTTCGGATGATTATTATCCTTGGTTCTTTGCTTTGTCGCAAGCCTGCCGTGTGTTTATGGATCTGAACCACCGAATGCTGTAAGATGAGGGGAATTTGCAAGTGTTTTTCGTTTAGCTTCTGCAATGTAGCTCCGTAACTTGTGTAGCTAAATAAGGATAAGAGAAAGCAGCCAGCAAGCGGAGAGTACGATCGCAACTCTTGAGGTTCTTGTTTCAGTGTATCGACCATATCCTTTGCGACAGATCGTTGAATGAACATACACGGGCATAGATTAGCATATAGCCATCCGGTGGGAATGGTTTTACAGACGTTCTTTAAGAACGAAGTGCAATATATTAAAAAGTGCGTTAAGTTTACTTAAAAAAATCGCGTGGGTCAATTATAGCTAATAATTTAGCCTACAAAAATGTATTTCAGGTTTTACCTCCGTGCTGAAGGCCAACCGTCTGAACGAATACGAACACTGTGATAAATGAAGAAGTGAACAGCGCTATGAACATAACTTGCTTTTACGTAGATAGTTTTACAAATTCAAAACCGGGCTTAGGATAATCTCGACGCAGCTTTTTTCTTAGTCCTGAAGCACTTTTCAAAACCAATTGCAGCCGTTATTCTTCTCCCTTCTGCGTTGTTGTGCTTGTTTTTAGCTATTGTCTTCCAGCAAATTTGCATATGCTCATAGTTATTGCAGCCCAGGCCGTGAGTTAAACGGAGTACATAGGAGACGATTTAGGACGTTTTTGACCTTGTTCTCCTGTGTCGTGTGTGCTGTGTTTTAGATGCCGATAAAGCCGCATGGATCGGTATGTAGCACCAATACATACGCTCCGATTTTTAAACCTTGAAGCAATGGATTTCGCTTATCTTAGCGCGCGTCGCGAAACAAATGCCGAAAATTTACGTGTCTGTCTATCCGGATATGGTGAACGTATTTTCATTTTGGCCGTTTTTACGTTCTTTATTTCAGCATAAAATAGGATCGTATCAGCGGTGTAGTAATCAAGTCAAGCATCAAGTCCTACTGATTACTGAGACTACTGCAGTAAATCGTAGAAATCATATAATGACGACAGTAACGCATGCGTACACAGCACTTGTGAAATCTTAGACACTACTTTTCTGGGTACTGAATGTATGATATTATAATGTATGCATGTTTTTGCAAAAGCGGCGAGAATTTTCTGATAACTGTGACCTACACGGAACAATTCTGATGCTTATATGTATGTACCGCTGCAATTTTATGCGAAACATTTTTCCAGTTGTAATACTAGTAAAGGAAGCAAACTAATAAATAAATCTGTAAATAGTAAGTACTGACTGATTTCGTTACCTTTGATATATCTTTGGGTACAGGATATACGACCTTGTTTGTGAAAAATCTGTTTAATATACGTATTCTAGGTGTCCCTAATATAAGTGTTTTAACGATACCAATAGCTTATCGACAAATCACTATTCAAACTCGCTGGTGATAAAAAATAAAAACGATCGTCACGTTGCGACAAAATACGTTTCAAAAGATTACTTAAAAAGTAAAAATTAGAGTTCGTACAGTGGCAACGAGTGTGCAAAAAGTCGCTAATATATACAGTAGATGGAGCGTTAAAAGTAAATGTATCAATATATATATATATATATATTATATTATATTATGCGCGAAATTTCATCCACAGCGGTATATAATTATCATTTATTATAATTAGTATGCCACACCATGGCTAACTGGTTACATAGGTTAGTTGTATGGATCGTAAGGAGATTTTCACCTGGGTAAGCGAGGCGCGTCTAGGACACAGACAGTATCTAGTCGATGAGATACACCGGCCCATCGACAGAGTTTCTGGTCCTGTTCAATCCCTATATTATTGCCTTTGCTTTTACGCTGGTCACCATCTCGTCAAACAAGCTGGCGACTATCCACACTGTTTTTTTTTCTTTCGGTGCAATGTACCGATAAGAGCATCATCCATTCAGGAGGCGGGCAGCTGGGGTGGCTGAGGGGATGTTGTGGGGTGTGCTGATTCCACTGGATGCTATCGGATGTCCGGGTTATTTAAAGGTCTCGTTATGGATGTGTCGCTGTTTGCTGTATTAGCAAACGACGTAACGAGAGACTGGCGAATAGACCGTTGATACGGTGGCGACAGCAGCGATACGATGCAGACCCGCTGGGTTACTCATCAGCCACCGTCGCTAGCTACACGAGTCACCGTCAATTCTATGGTACAAGATGCCAAAGTCGCGAGCTTTCTCCTCCTTACATCTTCCTGGGTTTGTGTTATGTAACGGCTTGTAGAAGACGACATTAATTAATAGCTCTCTTGTCGGCTTGCTGTGTACCAGCTGAAAACCATACGAGTGAGATTTTGCAAGTATGGGCGGTGCGGACTCATTTGATACTTGTATATTTACTCGGCTGAGCTAACGAACAAGAGAAAATATACCTAATAGCTTTCTACAATTTATTTTTTCTGCATAAAAGAACGGCTAATGCTTAGCTCCAGTGGCAGACCCAAGACCCAAAACAC